CCGGGCAACAGGTTTTACTGAGTAGGTTTCCAGGTAGCCCGTTCAGCTGGAGTATGGAAGACATTGAACGTTTTGCCCATCAAACCATTTTCCCTGCAACGAACTCCCTCTAGCTCCATCGTATGGCTAGTCACCTTATGACAAAACACTCCTCCTACGTGACCGGATTCCCTAGTTTTTTTTTGGATTGCAATTAAGATGAACTACAGCGGGCACCAGGTAGGTACTAAGAGGACGACAAACATTTCAATGAGGCAGTATCTCACCAAAAGCGAACACGTCGTGGATTCAGAATAAGTTAAAAATTGTTGTCCATTCTGGTCCGATCAATAACCCGTTGACGTGTCGCACTGGGTTCTGGTGGCGTGACCCTATGTTCTGCCTACAAGGTCTCCTCGTGAATGTGTGAAATCGATTTTGTGCCACATAGCATCTTATCTGCGCAACAAAGCACGCTCATTTTACTGCCACGAACAATAGCACCTTCAAATTGTCTAACGCCTAAATTTCGTTACTCTATATGGTGATTTGCTTCGGCGGTTAATATAATAATATCTGATGTCATAGGACTTAGCATAACTCCTCCGAAAAACATGTTCTGTTTACCCGCTGTGACCTACATAAACTCCCCTTTCAACAAAACGAGTCCTCTGTTGACCACTTTTGGTTTTAGGGGAACCTACACTCGACGTCTAGGTAACTGTGTATCTTACAGCTTCTCTAAAAACAGAAACAGTAGCAATTAAAGTACGCGCTGATAATCTTCCTGTATGTATAAACATTAGATATGTTTCTACTGAGCAAATTATTTTTGCCGTAAAAGCACATGTTCAGAATTGGATTTTCATATGGCAGATTCAGCTCTTACAACCGTCACTTAATCATATCTGTTGTTCCCCATCTGTACACATACAAAGTGAGCCGGGATAAAAAAAACACTCACAACCATTTATGGCAGAATGACAACTCGTCATTTACGATAGACATTTTAAACGTTTTCTACTCTGCTTTGAATTGCCAGACGACTGTGTTCCCTCGTAGTCCACGATATGGTTGGGCGTAAATCTTACAACTATTGAAACTCTCAGCAGTGTCTTTGTGAAATCGCTTGAGCGAAGACGGCGTCTGCGGACAATACATCAGTGTCCACGCTCATTTTCACATTCAAGGAGCGTCGTTGCTCATAAGAGATCAGTGTTCCGCGCACGCGAAACTAATAAGCAACCTTTTACTCGCAGTGCATCTTAGGATGAAGAGACCGAAAACTTTTTCGACTTTGACCCATGAATACGGAGTGCTGCGAGGTTTTTGCCGTTGGCAACTTGTTTCACCAGATGAGTAAATGGGACCTTAGGCAGGAGTTGCCTCATAGAACATCGAATACCGATATAAGAAGATTTCAGCCAGTGGTGAATAATTATCGCACCTAGATTTTGTGGTCGAGTAATCAGTTGAATGCTAAGTTGTGCAAATCCCCAAGTACCGAGAGAAGTTTGTGTGAGCTCATTTATTGATGGAATCAGAATTATGTATCAAAACTAATTCCTCCATACACAGTTATGTGTTATTCTACTGCCGTGGTCATGTACTCAATTTGAACAACCATACTCATGATCATTGGATCATTGGATTAGCATCTAAGTAGAAAGTGTAAGTCAAACAATTCCTCAGAGGTAATTTGATTCATATTGCAAATACATGGATAAAGATCTGTACCAGGTGTAGAAAATCACGTGTTTGTCTCAAGTCAAATTAAGTTAGTAAATCTTTAGGAATGTAACACCACTTAAGCCTCAATTTGGCCGGCAGGACGAAAATGTCATACTGTAGCAATGTAAAAATAAAACCACTCGGTTTAGATTAGGACAGTCCATAGGAGTTCGAATCACGAAACATCGCAAACATCTCGAAATTTTTCGCAGCCCATCTGTTTTCCCATTCGTCTTAATCGATAGTACAAGAGAGGGATGGTCGTGAACTTATGTGAAACTCAGATAAGCGATAAATGTCCCCAGTTTTGACGTCAAGAATCCTGCAGAAATCGTTCGATGTAGTACTTCCCTGTTTTGGCCAACAATATCCGAACGACATTCATCCTGTCCGCTAACTAACCATACGTTTGTTCGCACCACAACTGGTAGAGCACAAGTATGATAGACTGAAATGGAATCCGCTTTTGAACCCCTATTGGGCTTCATCCGATCCCTTAAAATGAGAAAATTGTTTTCCAGTTAATGTAGGATTCATCATACGAGATCTGTAAAAGGGTTCATATCACCGTCGACACTCTCCGTACGTCCCTGGTTTTCCCGAAACTTAAGTTTTCTGAATTATGAAATCCTAACTCAACTGAATGTGGATGTATGCCAACAAATTGACGAGATCATAAACCAGTGTGAACTAACACCCTTGATTATGTTGCTGTTGTTTACTTAGGCTTGTTTGTCTAAGTCTTGGTAAGACTTTCTTTTCGTCAGTCACAGAAGGACGAACAACACCAACAAAAGTTGTGCTATAGATGCTAGGCAACTCATATTATTCATAATGCATTGGACCGGAACAGCAGGGGAAAGTGGTATCCTGAGGATAATTTTGGTCATAATCTACCGAACAACAGTTCGTAGAGGGATGTAACAGGTAAGCTAAGGTAAAGAAAAAAGCGTTACAACAAGTGTCTACGGGAACAGTGAATACTGTTGGCGCTCAGGGAATATGATATTTCTTGTGAAAATTACGTCACCTGGGGCAGAACTCTCGGACTCAGTCTTTCGTTATCTGGCTGTGATTCGTGATGTGGAAGTAGTATAATTAAAGCGAAGATTTTTGCTCTAATGGCAACCGAAAGCTTCTATACTAACTTTCGTGTGACTGGCCTTGACACAAAAATGAATTGAGCTGCGTCCCTTTTCAGTGACATTCAGACCCAACAATCCAAATCACTATCGTTTACACTACTCTTCAGAATTCTTAAGTACCGTGGAGTTTCAGAGTACGAATATCTCAGTTTACTTCATGGAAAAAGGACACATTGTGAGGAGGGTCTGATTCACATGCGACCTGCATACAACGGACCTTGATAACCCCACAAACATGGTATGGGATCATACATAATTTAGATCAGCACCGATGAGTGGAACGAATCAATTTCTCCTAACGTATGATGGGTACAATAAGGGGAAAGACCCACAATGTACAGGAGCAAGCACTGAACCGATCGACGTAAAAAAAGAGGAGTTATCTCAAAAAGAGTGAAGTGTTTCAGGTCTCATCCCATCGTTCTATCAGTAACGAATCTCAGTCATTTCAACTCAGAACCTAGATATATCGTTCCAACCTATGAAAAGTCAGGGTTGTGGCATTTCAGCTCACTATATATCTTCAATTCCCCATATGTGAGAAAGATTGGAGCCCGTAAGCATCTCTTTCATTAGGCGTGACGTGTTTTTATGTATACATGAAGCTGGCTCAGTCTGGGAACGGAAGCATAGCAAAGCCAATCAGTAATTAAGATTCTTATGCAAAAAACTGAATATCGGGACAGCTACTGTTGGAGGTAACAGAACTGTGTTTCGCAAAATGAGATCTCTAGGGAGTTAGTTCGTACATCGAATGTCATCCCAAGTGAGAATCCGTGAAACAAACCGTCTCACAAGAGAACGGTTGGATTTCAGTGGCGAATCACCGATTTAACTGTCACCTAGACATACCAAATGAACACCACATGCTGTCCCATTGAAATTTCGACATGAAGTGATCAGAATACATTGATAACTTTTCCTGTGGAACGATAGCTAGGGAATTCCTATATTTCTGTTGCACCATTTTTCAATTCCTTTACTGTTGTGCTCTCAAGCTGTGCTCTTGTACAGTTTAGAATCCGTTCCTCATAGTAATCTTTGTTTCCTCATTAGTTAGAGTTATGATGCTGTAATGCGGTTTTCAAACCTGACAAGTGATCAGTGAATGTTTCGATAAACTGAGCTCTGGTATGCACAATTCCATATCTCTTGCCTTCCAGTATGCCTGGAATGGCTAACTTTTGGAGAAAACTCAAATTCGAATAACTTGACAAGAAGAGGGTTTACGTTTTTGGCTTTCTTTCCAAAGACAGATAGTTACTTAAACATCGGAAGGAAAGCAATAAGAACTAACTTTATATTACCGGGGAAATGTATACTCATACCAAAAATATAAGCACCAGATTCCTCAAAAGCCGTCAGCCATTGACGTCAGTACCCCCGACACCGCCAGTGCTCAGACTGCATTGTTGGTTACAAAGTAGCTTACATATTTGGCCCAGATTTTATTTTGATATTGAGTCTTCTGATGCACTTCTCAAGATAAGCTAGGTTTTAACGAGCTTTACGGAGATTGTTCCCATTTCAAACATGAAGATAAAAGTGTTTTTGTCTGAGTACTGGTTGATCGGCAACATGTGAGAAGGCTGGTTGGTCGACAAAATACATTGTGCACCGTTTTGTCCTGCAGTTAGCCCAACTATGTGATCAACAGCAATAAACAAGCCCGAAATCGCAATCCAGTACAGACCAGCTGTTATTTTTGAAGCCCAGTGTGATATACTGTCGATGAAGAGAAAACTGCCAAGCATTTTTCTTACAGTAGTAGAGCAGTAGACATTCAGAATAACATGAAGAAATTTTAAATATATCAGTTGTTAAGATCCATGTTCTACCGGCTTTGTCTAAGAATCCAGTGGAACATTTGAACTTTTTCAATTTCCGAGTCTTCCTTAGGAATTGAAGAAAATATTGCCAAGTGCAGATCACTTTAGGCGCCAAAATAATATGGTTGATCATTGCATGTAGGTAAAGCATTTGACTACTTTAGCTTAATCAGGTCGCAGTCAATCGAACTCTGATTTAGGAGATAGGAAGATCTAATGGTTCATATCCTGCTTGCTTTAACTATTATTATCAACAAAGATACTGTTGGCTCAGATAGTAGAACGAACTCGGAGCATGATTTCCTTGCGTTTTCAGCGCTAGTGAACAAGGCACGGTGAGCATCCAGTCCCCCATTCCGAATTCGCAACCCCTCGCACAAGCTGAAGAAAATCATTCGAAAACGGAATACGCCCATTCAACCTCTGGACGAACCCAATTCATCGAAATTATGCGAGTCAACGATGCGGGATTTAAATCCCCAATGTCAAGCTCTCTGGTTTTGAAGAAGCCCGTGATACCGAACGGCGAGCTCACAAGTTCTGGCGTTTACGGACAGACCAGGTCATTTTCTTCATCTCTGTATCCCCCTCAGTGTGGATTTTACAATAAAACGGTAGAAAACCAATCACATATCAAGTTTCCACAGAACCGGTTTTCCGCTGGAACCTGTGCGAAAGAGAGATCTCCTAACGGACAGAAAGATAGCTCCGCCAAAGTTTCACAGATCCCGAGGCTGGTAAACAGCACCAAAGCACCGAATGCCAGACAAAACGGTGAGTAAATAAAGCAAAAATTGAAACGTAGTTCTTGACCATTTTAGTTTTCTCACCTTATCTCTGTTTATCTGTCTATCAACCTGACCGACTCCAATCGAATGGACGACGTACTAGTTGACGTTATCAGAACATACTTTCAGCGAAGTCTCTTCGACAGTATCGATCAAATGGACGTAGATTAGAATAAACTAGATCCAACCAATCTTAGCATGAGGAAGGCAAAAAATATTCCGATGAATCGCCCTTTGATAACCTTTCCAAGCCAAAACCATGGACCAAACCAGATGCTGAAGCGGATGGGATAGCCACTGAAAAATACAAACTTTTGACTCGTTTTGACGACTGGCTGCGAATACATACTTCCAAAGGAGACACCGTGAACCCGAATTGATATTTTTTACCAGAATGAGTGTATGCGATGTTTTTTTATTTATTTCACGCGCTCCAGGTTTTTAGCACCTAAAGTTTTGCTTATTGCGGAACAACACAGTCGATATTTTGTGAATAATCCAGTGAATTCAGAAATGCCAAACACCTTGAAACTAATTCAGGTGTCCCTCAAACTAATTATGAATCTTATAGTAATATTTTTTACGGGGAGTGGATGAAATGACCCGCATTTTTCAGAAACAATAGTAACATCACTGCAGGGAACAATGCTCGCATCATCGAACCCTCATCGGAGCTCAGTCGGCAGGTTTGAATAAAAATCTAGGCCTGAAGTGACTAGTGTTCTTTCTAATTGGTCGACAACTAGGAAAAATCCTGCAAACACCCCGAATGCTAGGTACAACTATGATTTTACACTGAGCTAGTCGGTATTGTACTATGCAAAATATATGCAGACAAACTGTCAGTCACAGTGCGTAATGCGGTCTATCGAAAACATCTGTAATGTATTGGTAGTAGTAGCCCATGTATCGTGACCCCGGAAAGAATCAATGGAAATTTTCAACTTTCTCTCGGAAACCTTCATTCTATTGAGCAAAATAATTCGGTTTTTATTACCGTGCAAGCCATATAGCTGTTCCGATTGTTCATCTGCATTGATGACCAAAACAAATGAGGTTCTTTGACTGGATGCCTTGATTTGCGTTGACCTTCGGTTGTACTCTAAGGTATTGAGATGATTGGTCGGCAATCATTGAACCGGATTAAGATAGTCACTGGCTCATCGTGTGGTCTTGTGGATCGTTTCGCCTTCTACCCCCACACAGTGCGTCTATCGTCGCTCGGAGTATAACATGACCAAAGTGTCTGCTCAACAGAACTCCATTTAGTCCATTCTCATGAATATTATTCTGGTTCAATCAATTCCAACGAAACAGTAGTTCTTCACTTGTATACAATCCATATTTTCATGGATTTATGCGGTACTACTCGGGATTCCGTTATCTGGAAAGCTACTACTAATCCAAAACAGGCTAAATTTTCATGGTGCTCACCGACAACAAGAAGGTATGACATTTCCCATAGTCTCTGTTGATACGGTACTTTGAGTCACGCGTAGATTTGACGATCCAGAATATTAAACATCTGGGTCCACAAATCTGACACTACACGAAAGCGATCAGTCACACAACGCACCTCAGTCGTTCACGTTCGTGGCGTGGACGAACGTCGTGCCGTCATGGACAGGCACAGTGCGGCGTCAAACTCCGCACAACAGTCTACTTTGACTCGGTACGGTTCTGTGGGTTGCGGTCGTTTCTTTTGAGGGCAGTCTCGTGGTTCCGACTGGCGACGCCAGTCAGAGCAGGCTCGGCAAACGGCGCACGAGCATCCATGATTAGCCAGGCTCGCTGCGCACATTCACAAACACACACACATGCTACCATAACCGTCGGATGCGGCGGCCCTTGCGTTCGGATGAATGGCGGATACTGATGAGCGAAACAATGGAGATCAAAAGTACATCGGTGTAGTGTGCAAATGAAGGTGGATTCATCACGAAGTCAAGTTAAATTCAACACTCTTGTTGTCATACCATACCGACGCCTCCATCCTAGCATGATGGATGGAAGCGCAGTGCTATTAGTATCTATGCTCACCCGATCTCCCACGCACCAAACCTGGCATTTGAGTCACTACGATAACCACAGTGGAGCAAAACATGCGGCTGGGGCAGTCGTGTGATTCGTGCGGCAGGTGGAATGCATATCCCATGAGCAACCCAGCCGAGGTTTATTTCGCGGAATTTGAGTTTAAGGATCCTCACTCAGGATTAGCTATAAAAAGCAAAAAACGATAACTGGGCAGAAAAGCACATTTAAATTAAAATCGGGATACCGCTATAACATGTCTCAGTGAGAGATTCTCAGACCCGAGGGCCTAACTTACTCGAGCAGAACTTCGACGAATTCGTATGTCGATGAAGCTGAAGAGCTTTCTTATGATCATCAGGTTCTTTCCAGGCTGCGAATGAGTTTAGACACTTCTGGTTGCTCAGCAGATGCCAATCCATCGAGTCAGTGGTTTCGCATTGAGTTAGCACATGAACCGAAGTTCACCTATAACGCCCGGGAAGTCGGCGCGATGTACCAGTGTAGGATATAAAAGTTTGCGGAAAACCAAAGGACGCTGTTACATAGTATTGAATTCCGACGTAAAGTCCACGTGTTCAAAAGAAACGCTATCACGAACTCGATGAGTATACGGTTCTGGTGTTGATAGTCTTGTTCAGAGGGCAAATAAAAACACGTTACATTGCATAAATCGGACAAGGTTGGGCATTTCCAAGAAAGACTTGTTGTTAGAGATGGAAAGTACACTTTGACGCTTTAAACCAGTCCGGGAAGGATGGTATGACGGTTTGCACACTGAATTCTACTTCGGGGAAACGTTGCACATACCGAACCTCTCATCCTCGGTTGGTCTATGGGAAGAGGCCTGACTAACGGTCTCCTGGACATGCACAACCACGGTGGAAACGTGAAGCCTTTAGGTCTTATTTGTTAGACCGTCCCAGTACAATAACGTCAGGCACCACCACCGTCCAGTCAAACTTCGGAGCAGAAACTATTGGTTGAGAGCACTGCTTGTCATCCAGCTTCGGCTTAGGCATTATGGAAGTAACCCCACACCAGATACTGTACTTTATTGACGCAACTAAATTCATGTCAAATCGACCGTCGTTTGATCAGGTCACGCAATATTATATATACATTAGGGTGATAACGCATATGCGAGCTTCTCAACTCTCCCAAGTGTTACCTCCAAACCTCCCTCCAGTTTCGTCTAGTGATTGATTTTCTCTACGTCCAAGCTGTAAGTGCGTCACTTTTGCTTGCAATAAAGTAACTAGCACGGAATGCTTTACTTCTAAATAGGACATAATTCCCGTAATGTTGCTGAAACTATTTCGGCAGTCCGGACTCTGTTTTGACCTTCTTGGGGCTCATAAATTTTGCGTAGTCCCCGAGTTCCATTCAACATTTTATTCTGCTTGAGCACCAAGTTGTATGCAGCTGGCGAAATACACTCAAAAGAAAACTAACTTGGTGTTCACCGGAGACTCAACTGAATCCTGATTGACTCCTCCGCTTGTAGTATCCTTCAAATGAACGCGCTGCGCACTGAGACCGCCTCGTACTCAAGTTGGTACGATATTTAAGATGTCACGGTAAATACTGCTGACATCAAAACGATTCATCTTAAACACAAAACCGCACTCCATGGATTAAAAGACAGTGTTGTTACCAGAGATAACAGTTGAAAGTTGACGTACATCAAGGACCAGCGTTGTGATACCTGGATGTAAGCTTTGCAAAGAAAGTCCAGTTTGCCATCTGCTCTGTATTTGTTTTTCCAAATCCAAGGGGCATAGCCTGAGGAGCGTCTGTAAATATAGACCCATTTTCAGTTTCTGACTCATTAATATGCCTTTCTGCCGGGTGGATGTAGGATTTGACAAAATTCCACCACAACGATTCGATTATTATGATGGATTTCTCAACTTACCTTAAATCAGGTTTTTAGACATATTTGGGAACAAGGTTGTATCCTCATACCACTGGCCAATCAGTCATCTTAGCCTCATTCCAAAAAGGCACCGTAAGCTGTTGTTATAACCCCAGGAACCATGGCATTTTTACCAGCATGAGCAGTAGGCCTAACTTTGTGGGAAAGCGCTGATAGGTTGGAGAGATCGGATACAACGCTCTTTAAACAACAGTTTTAAGCTGTCACCTTCAATGCAACCATCTTGCAATTCTGAGTATTCCGATTTGAATGAGGTTCTTGTTGACGAAAGTGCCGCGTGGATGTGACTTCCGAATCCACTGGGGTCAAAAATCCTCGTGGAGTGAAGCTTTTTGAGATCTGATTACGATTTTTTATGATTAAGTTCCACTACCATGGTATGTCAGCTATGGAATCCTCTGCCAGGATCAGTCACTACTCAGATGGAACATTCCGGCGATTAAGCCTCGTAAATCTTGGTGAGGTTTCACAGTTTCAGTCCGAGTTCACTCTTGTAGGAAAAGTGTAAGTTAGTAAGTTGGAAAAACCGGCAGGCACTGCACAGCTATTTCGTCCTTATCAGAAATAGTTAGCAGTGCTCATCCCATTAAACAATAGGGAGCTCCGAACATGCGAACGCCTGCTAGTATTTCGAAAACGTGGCCGTCCAGTTAATTGTGGCTGGTCAGTATTGTGGATAAGCTTCAACACTGAAAAACAGATGAACACTGTCCGGCTGTTTCGTCCTCGTTGAATATCACACACAGTGGGCATCTCAGGAACTGACAAGGAAATGCATCTCTGGAGACACGCATCGTCGACGATTTTCAACTAGTAACTGTCGGTTGCATTCGACCTATCCCAGTTTCAGATTCAAGTTAAACTCCCAGTGCATATCCAACCGTTCACCATTTCAGGTTTCAAAGAAACTGATCCTCAGATCTTCCATTGCTTCTGACCATCTTCAGAAGTTGTTTTTTAGACAAAACTTTACCGAAGATTTGTCACAATCATCTGCCATTTATGCACGTACAATTGTCACTCTGTCCCAAAACAACCGATGAATAGAAACTGTCTCAACAGCACGGGATGATGTAAATCGCATAGAATATTGGTCATGGTTTAGAAAACCATAGTTAGCTTACTTAATATGTACTTAATGTGTACCGTTTCCACCGAAGTTTCGCGGCACAGGATAGTGGATGAATGAATGCGGTCCAGTGGATTGACCAACGTGGACTTACGAATGACGATAAACTTAAACAACTCCAGTCAGATTGCAAAGTTCACCTTATGAGTTCAAAAGTATTACATGTGTGTGCTTATCTAATCAGTTGCACTCACTAAGCCCTATTCGTTTAAACCGTCGAATTGAACGAAACATTCAGATAACACATGAGTTGTAGATGAAAAATTTCTTGGCTCTGATAACTGAATCTTTTCCTAAGGGCCTCTCGGCCTGTTACACGCGGAGGGCGAATTAAAAATTCACTCGAGAAATACACTCATTTGCAAATCAATTTGGTTTTCACGGGAGACTCAATTGAATCTCTCGTTTATGATGTTCTGCAGCTGAATGTGCTGCACACAGGCCGCCCCATGATTCAGTTGGCACGATATTCGAGATATCGCAGTATATTTTCATAAAGGAAACTACTCACAAGTTTGCTGAGTCTCCCGTGAAAACCAAATTGATTTGCAAATGAGTGTATTTCTCGAAAACAGTCCAATTTGGGTTCAAGTAGATCATAAGATTGACGGAAACTCGGCAACTGTGCCTACCTGATGAGCCCCAAGAAGGGCGAAACCGGTCGTGGGCTGTCGAAGAGTTTTCAGCAACCTTGTGAGTAGGTTCCTTTATAAAAAAATAATCTCGTTTTCAAAATCATCAGTGTCCCCAGGAAAGCTTTTTAGATGGACGCCTCAGTTGTGCTTTTCTTCAATCACATACGCAGCGCGAATACTGCTTTACAGTGCACGTGAACCAATAACTAGTGTTCTGATGTCGGCTTTTGTACGTAGTACGAAAATAGTGATCAGATTTCGTCAACAGCCTAGCCGTTTCATCCCGCCTGGAGCCATTCAAATATGAATCCCCATGGATGCATTTAATTCGGTAAAAATGAATTGCACATGAACGGAATGAAACAGTCAGTATGTCTTCTTGGCATAAAGCACTAGTCATAAGATTCTTGAAATTCAACAACCCGCTTCCGGTTCAACCCTTCTTTAGACTCATCGAAGTGGTCTGGTTCCCGAGTTTCCACCCATCTTATCTTCTGCTTGAACACCAGTTGGCACCTTAGGCACATTTGCAAGTTAACTTGGTGGTAACGGAAGACTTAACTGAATCCCAGACGAATCTCTCGTTTTGTGTTGTACTAAGAAGATATAATTTTGCATCCAGAATGTCGTTTGTACCGAAACATAACGCGGTATTTGTGCAGCACATTCAGTTGAAGAATACTGTAAACGATAGTTCTAAGAGAATTCCTTCAAATCGTCTGCACACGGGTAGTTTGTTCATTCATCAGGTTTCATGACAGAAAATGTGATTATATGGTTGACAACTTCAATTTGTTCACCTTACATGTTCGGCCAGACAGCCAAGCTTAGTCGATAGCCTGTTTGAGCAGACAAGGTCGAAATCAAATAAGCAATTCAGGTCTGCGGTTCCAAGAGCAGTAACAGTGTGGGACTGACACGCGATCACCTGTTTCACATTTCGCTTCACATGCAAGATCTTACACAGATGTATCCCTCCATTGGCACAAGACTCTCCAGAATACACACTCCACCTATCTTAGTTATAAATACTGGGATAGGTCCATTTTTTCTACCAAATAGAGAAACGCAACTCACCATTGTGCCTGGTCACGTCGCTTGTGGATTTCATCATCTAAGGTGAACTTGACCCATGAATCATTGTGGAATCCGCACCAGTATAGTTGAACCACTCAATCTTAGGCCCGACCGACTAACTTCACACCCGATTGGCTGACTGATGTGTTGACTATCTCGCGTCCTTATATGTGTGGGTTGATACGGACGTACTAATACTTTTGCCGCTTTCAGATTCCAATTTCACTTTACACCTCTTGCTTCTAAAAACTTGAACCGTCAAGCACACCAGCGGTTATCCAAGTGTGTGGTGAGAAAAATGAGTTGAAATTTTGCACTGCGTAGAGATATTTATATTTGTCTGTAATTTGTTCATCGTTCCTGTGTGTGTTTCGGATCCATTACAGTAACCAAATTATCCAAATTTTTGTCAAATATTGCTCGTTTTTCGCCTTCAGTCAACAGTGGAATTTACAGAAACACGCGACCGTCTCCACCCAGTAATCCACCTAGTGATAGCTCCACTGGACAAAGAAAAGTGAATTCAGGACCACGAATTCTGAGCGTCAACGGTGCTACCACATCATACCGAGACAGACAACATCACTCACAACAAATACAAACAAATACTCAACGCTTCAACTTCCAAAACACTGTTCCGAACCCAGTTGAGAGAAACCAATCACCAATAACGGTTACTAAGGAATTCCTCATCGTTAACGGCCAAATGAGTCAAGAGGAAAATGATCGATCTCTGGTTCAGGAAGAGCAAGATGACAAGACTATCAACAGTGACATGAGTGATTTTGATGAAGAAAAGTATCCTGAGGAACCTATGATAATGAACTCTTTTTTGGTTGACCCAATACACTTGAACGAAATTTCCACTAAGAGGACGTCACATAATGCTCTGGTCGGTGAAGAGGCTGATACTTATCAGGACCGGGCCAAACGCTGTGTTGGGAAGCGAAAAAACAAGCCGGTCTTAGCTGCCGTTCGAGCATACGCAGAAAAATGTAACAACCGACAAAGTGTGTCACCGTGTGCCACGTCAACAATGAATGGAACAGTGGGTGGATGGTTTGGAAATGTAAGTTTGGACAATGCGTGGTCCTTTTTAATGGCCTCCTGCAAACGCATTGACGTGGTTACAATTCATACCTACTTTCGTTTGAAACGTCAGCCTTCTCGGGTGGAACATTTTCCATGATAGATTCGTCAGTGAGGTTGAAAAATTTAGGAAGGCACATTATAATTATCCTCAAACGCGAATAGTGTAACTCCATGCCGTTAACTTTTATTTCCATAACTAAGATCGCATAATCTAGCCAGACGAGTATTTAAGCTTGCGGCTGATATTTAGGATAATCGGAACCCTTACGTTTTATCGTTGTACGGAAACCTGCCATGGAAACTGGCCTTTGGTCACCGGTACAGAACATGTAGTAAGCAAGAAATCGTACATTCATGTAAACTGTACGTGTGAAGTTTTCAGAACCGAACACGCGATTCTCACTGGACAATAAGGTCGTTTTTCCAATACCTGAAAAATGGGCATATTGCACAAGCGATGAGCAGGGTGATGCTGACCGTGCTCATTGCAGATTTTGACTGATCGCTGAAAGAATTTCACTCGTCAGTCTGCACTGAACTACATTTATCTGCAATTCTCTCTTAAACAAGTGCAATAAGTCAAACTCCCTGTCCACCCTCAAATCCTGCATAGTCAAAAGGCGTGTTCGTTCTAAAATTGACTCAACAGTTCAGAACAGATTAACTTTTATAACCAAAGAAGTTGATAACTAGAAGTATATACTACTGACACATAAAGGAGCTCGTTTCATCGCGGATTCTGGCATATTTCTATTGAACACTTATCAGCTTGTGATCGATCCGCCCCCTTCCACAGCTTTCAAGCTGAATGACTTCAGTCGTTAGCTGAATGATCAGCTCGCCATGTTATTAGTATGCATAAACTGCGAGACCGTTTTTTTCCGAATCGCGCACGAATAGTCTGATGCATCCAATAAGAATTTATTTCGAGGTACATTCAATATCTTAAGTCCTCTATTATGTCGGCCGTTAAAGGTGTTTCCAAGACTGGTAGTCATAAAATTGCTCATTTTCATGAGAAACTGATTGGCATTATCTGGTGTCGGGTAAGATACTCATCGCGGCTGCTTAAATTACGGTCGAACGCGAACTCAGAACGAAGTCTACTACAAGATTACGGTGATCATATAGCCGTGTGGCTTCGCATGAAAATGCAAGCCGGCGGTTTGCTTCAGTATTCTTCGAGTAAGGCTGTGCATAAGAAGAACCTTTGAACACCATATTCGTTCTAAATGAAAGATGCTTGAATGAAGTAGGGGAAACTATCCTCCCTGTATTCGCGGACTCATTTTGGAGCTAATTTCTCCTACTCTAACAGACAATTCCATTTTAATTCATGAGTAACTGTTGTCCCAATGACTAGAACCACAACGCGTAAGCAAAATGACGCTCATGGTGAACATCAAGAAATCATGATGAGGACGTAAATTATTTTGGAATACTGGAAGTCTGGAATAGTGTGCGGTCTTAAAATATACTGGTTCAGTAGGAGGAATCAAGCAATATTTTAGTGAGACAGTGGGATGGCATGTCACTGCTAGAAACCGTGCATGATTACTGATGATTTCGGAAATCTGTCCAACAATCGCAAACGATGCGGAGTCCTTAAAGAGATGTATGGAGTGAAGAAAATGCGGACAGATGTACTCTATGGATGTTTGCTTCAGTCCTTGTTTGCAGCATTTCTTGACCTCCGGACACCTCCTTGTTAAAAATGGTTGAAATGAGTAAAAGTGTTGATGGTGAAATTTACGCCGAAGTTTAAAGGGAAGCTGACCATCTAAAAAAACTGAAAGATAACATAGTCCGTGTAAGGAACAAGACTCAACCAGACGGTGTCGTTCATGAGAAGATTTCAGTCATATTTACCCATAATTCCTTGGGGATCTCGGCTGACATATGGTAATTCAACGTAATTACTCTCATTTGTGTATAGCAACGTCTTCACTGCAAAAGCACAAAATAATTTTAGGATTATTCATCCTTCCTACGAATGTTGAAAGCATACACGGGAACTGCCTTCAGAGGTACACCTTTTTTACCCTGTCTTGAGGGTGTTTGCTATGGACAGGTACCAGTTTACGGGTATGGTGCTTCATCGAGCAAAGTGATGTCGTGGAACTAACCAACTCACAGCTCCCAATCAAACATTACGTAACATCATCCTCGTGACCAGCACGTCATGGATATGGTATATAAAATTTATTCGGTGTTCTCCTATTCGCTACGCACGTGGTGTCAGCTGTTCAGTACAACGATACTACAAGGCCAGCTCTTAGCTTCGACCGTATCGTCACGTGAAAACCGCGCTAGAGAGGTAGCTGTTGTAAATGTGATCATTGTAGTACCCTGGCAACCAATTAAAGGGCACATTTTCTCACACACGCTCTGTATTGAACGGCAAGACGCACCCTGATGCTGGTAACACTTAGTCTTCACGTGCATATGTCTGGTTGTGATTGAAACGATGCCAGCAAAAGGTGAAGAGGACCGCGTGGACCACGAGCAAATTAGCTAGACTTCTGTAGCAACGAGATCACTGTGGTAACTGACCAATTATGAGAAAAGTGGGAGCATCTTGGGGTCATTTGAAATTTAGGCGCTTCGTTTGCCTTCTGAGCATTAAAAGTATGGTAGCAATTTTGAGTTAGCTATTAACTTTCTCCACCGTCTTTCAGTGCCTCATTCAGGGCACCATATTTGAAAAGGCATTTTAATAGCAGAAGGCTTACCCTTTACGACAAAATGTGCTGTAGTCCCTCCACTAAGCAATGTTGTTCGGAATCTACCGCTTTATTGTCTCCTGAAGAATGTTATACTTCGGTTTGAGGGGTTCCATAAATTCACTTTGGCCGCATCATTGTAAGTCTTTTTTGATTAGTCGACAAAACAAACGACCAGTATCTTTGTCAATCCAGGTCTCTTACCCACAGTTTTCACCCGAAAAAAAAACAGAAAACTGAATTCGTTTCAGAGAGGTGTGGTAAACAATCGGTGGATTTAGTGCTGGGCAACATTTAGCTTTTGACTCAAAAGACTCGTCAGGCCAAGTGACAAAGTAAGTAGGTTGATTGGGTTTTGAGGCAGTCGGGGAACCAATCCGTGAGATTTCTTATGACTAGCCGACTTGATCAGTGCTGGGTGTTCAGTCTGATGTTCCTGTTTGTTGGTTAGTAGGGATGATTAGCATTTATGATAGATTGGTTAGGGGGAAGGATTTATCTTCATGATGAAACTGGATTATTCGTCCTTGCTTTTTCAGTCTAGGACACCTTATTAGAAACTTCCTCTTGGGGTTGTTCACAGATTTCGTTCACCTGTGTTCGTCAAGGGTTGCCAGGAGATGGGGGTGGGGGTGGTTAATTGGATCTAACTTCACTTGGATTTTGTAATTTTAGACCAACCAAACTGCACACCGCCTCGTGTCATTTTAGCTGATCTAAGACCGCTCTGCACACGTTTGCAAGTTCTAACCCCTCTATTCTACTTACGCTGGGATGCTTGGCGATTCCCACCACCTCGGCTACCAGTTGTTGTGGTGCTAATCCTGAACCCCATCTCAGGATGTCCACATTTTCTAAATCTGTCCTATGCGCAGTGTCTAGTGCATGCCCTGCCATTACCGAATCTTTTATCAACACCTGGTATTCATCTACTTTTCTCGGTGGTCTGTTAATGGAACGCTTATGCTCACCGATCCTGGTGTGCAATTTTTTGCTGTCTGACCTATATAAAACTTCGTACGGTCGTTACACTTTATTTTGTATACACAGTTCCCAGTCCTACCAACCGGAAGACGATCCTTCACATGCACCAACACCGAGGGTAAAGTTTTCCCCTTCTGGAATGCTACTCTTATGTTAGCCGTATTCAGTAACCTTCTAATGACTTCAGATGTCCCTATTTTGTATGGAATGACCGTTGTCCCGATCCCCTCCTTGTTGGGCCTTGATGTTGGAACCGATACCCGTTTTAATTGCCGCTTAACTGAACCCACTGGGTATCCGCTATCCTGAAGTCGCTTTTTTACCTCACCCGCTTCGTTGTTGTGCTGCTCTTCGGTTGGGAAATTAAAAACCTCTGTTTGCCGGAAATCAGCAGATAGCGGTGCGGTCTTAGACTACTCCTCAGTATATGCTAGAATAGTTTCAACGATGTTGAGAAGAGTCAATGCACTGTGTACAGAGGAGGTCGACCGAAGAGCAGTACAACTTGAGGTAAAGAAGGGATCCGAATCTTCCATAAATCTCTACACTACTTGGTATGAAAACGGGTGGTTTGCCGGATATTTCTGACTGTTGGAATAACTCACGAGTGTGTTTCAGAAGCTGGACGAGGAATGCGGTTTTCACCAACTGAGGCAGTCAGCCAAAGCTGTACACTAATGAAACACTCATCTAACAGGTGTTTTAGCCGTTGAAATCACTTGTCAGCGCATGTTACGGGCCAGGAGTTAAGAAATCACGTTCCGTTCACGCCCCAGTTGGAGGACGTCCCGAGTGCACCACAGAATGTACAAGAACCAAACAGAGACACCGTCCATTGCTTCATTAGGTAAAGAGGCAATACCACACGAAGTTCACACCTTTAGTAAAGATACAAATGAAAGCTGCATAGGTCTCCCAGCTAGAGGAAGCAGGTTTTGTAGCGCATCAGTCAAGCTTGTTTGCTCCTCTCGGATCATAATGAACTACCACCTACCAACCGTCTAGTAGAAGTACTTATTTGCTTTATTTGCAGTTCTATATGACACCTGTTAGCTTTCTATCTAGGTTTTTGGGAATTCCTTGACCAGTGAAAGCATCTTGTCTTAGGGTTAAGTTCTAACCAAATTATTTCCTCCACAAGGGGTTGAGAGATATGATTTCAAAGAAAACCGATGAGACCATTGGAGTCAGTTTATCCTCCGTCGGGCTAAGGCGCAAGGAAACCCTTTGTTATGCTGCGAATTATCCCAACAATTTCAAGCTTCATAAATGGTTGACCCGAAGTTTGGGAACTACGGTAAACAGAACCCCTCATCTATATTGCTGTGCGTCATCTACTTTTCTGACGCTATTTTAATGTGCTAATGGTTACTTCGCGGGAATTTCGGAGCGACATCCTAGGAAGAAGTTGTGCGATTCGTGTCATCGTTTCGAAGCGCATTCCGAAGAGTACACTGCACATCTTAAAACATGTCATAAATCTTGCATATTGCGCAAGCAAGACAAGAATTCCGTTGAGACAGCCTGGAAACAATCAAAACTGGAAACATTACCGAAATCGGATTATAGAATAACCCTGGACAATTTAACTTAAAACATGTCATAAATCTTGCATATTGCGCAAGCAACACAAGAATTCCGTTGAGACAGCCTGGAAACAATCAAAACTGGAAACATTACCGAAATCGGATTATAGAATAACCCTGGACAAATTTATTTAAAATACTTCACCACACAATTTCATGAAAACCACGACAAGTATTCTTACTCCAGTACGAATTCATCAAAAACTTGACCTGGAAACTGATCGCTGCAACACTGTTCAAACTAACCAAAAGTAGATGTTCGGCTTAAAAAGTTCGCCAAATTAAATTGCTTGAAGGTCGTCGGTTGCAAAAGATTACTACAAGAACTCGGTACAGAGTGATCTCTTCTGGAGGAATTTGCACTTACTGCGTGTTGGTAGTGAATACCGTACCACATTCTCCTTATCGGTGTGTTTTCATTGGACATATCTTTATTCCCGAGATTACTATATTGCTTCAAAAGTATTTTGAGGCTACAGAACATTTCGTGTGAATGCATTAATGGGGATGAACGAGTGAGTTTATTTATGCACGGGGGAGGCAAATTACCCCCCCCTCCGTGAATCTTACTTGTGGAATTGGAATTTGCACTTACTGCGTGTTGGTAGTGAATACCGTACCACATTCTCCTTATCGGTGTGTTTTCATTGGACATATCTTTATTCCCGAGATTACTATATTGCTTCAAAAGTATTTTGAGGCTACAGAACATTTCGTGTGAATGCATTAATGGGGATGAACGAGTGAGTTTATTTATGCACGGGGGAGGCAAATCCCCCCCCCCTCCGTGAATCTTACCTTGTGGAATTGAATCAGAAGTCTCTTTTCATCTGATGGAATGTATTCATTGCATGCAAATTTGGTTTTCACGAAAGATTCACCTGAATCCTAGCTGGATGTATCTTATATGATGTTCTTCAACAGTCTTGTGAGTAGTGTGTCACGTCTTTTCAATTGATTTAAGTAACCTAGAATAATAGCTGTTTAATTTGTCCAAAGCAGAGTCGCTGTAGTGTGTTTGGCGCTTTCAGTGACGAACCGTCTACCTGTTCGTTTTTCGTGTTTGCCGTCTGTATTCATCAACAGATTTCTGACCAATTTTGTCACTGGTATATTAAAAGAGGAAAATTCCTTGAAGACTGGCTAGATTCACGGTGAATGAACTCTCAATCGGAATTTTTGCAGCCTCAACTGAATATTGTGCATCGGATTTCAATGTCACGAGATGTTCTGAATAACTCAGTTGCGTGTTTCCTATTTGATCTTTAAAGAAGCCACTATGACCAAGTGCCGTTAGGAGATAAACACCTGTTAAGACGAGCACTTTTGTATGCGTGTTTGCATAACCTGTGATTGTGTGTTTTGCTCCAAAATAGGAGTACAAAAAGAGCGAATTGCTCCTTTGTACCGCGGGAAATTTGTACCATAGATGGAATTCGTAGATTGATCCATATTCTACCCGTATGTGAATGTGAAACAGTTCCGAGAACAGAAGATGTGTAATGCATCTGGAAAAAACAGCTGTTTTAGCTCAGCTCGTTTAACCCGGGTTCAATAATGACAGATCCAAAAGTTTAGTCTGCCACACGAGTACAAGCGATTGGTCGGTGGGAAGAATCAGTACAGTATACTGGTCGATCGATATGTATAGACGCATCTCTGTTAAGGGTCTGAATGAATGCTGGTCAATTGCGTTGACTTCAGCTAACCCCTCTGCTATCATCCCAGTTGGCTGGAACTGGTGGCAGTATGCGGCCGGAACGTTGACTTTCAGCACCAGTACAAATCTTGAGATACGTTTTTACATATTGCAACAATATACACTGTTATCTCGTATATATAAAAGGGAATGTCCATTGGTACCGTCATACCAGCGCTACCAGGGCTTCCACAAGCATGGTGAGGTTCCGAGAAAGGCTTAGGCTGGTGACTTCCGTATCGCTTAGATGGCCGTGATTTACTTTTTCCGTAGCGATGCTGTACTCACAACCCAGTTCACTAAACTTCAGACAGCCGTCAAAAGTTGCAAAATGCCAAGTCTGATCAAAAACGATCTCTAATTCTCCGCATTGTTACCCCACGAATACCCGTTGGACATTCATTTAGAACTGTCAGATTGAGTTGCTTCGAGCATCAAGTACGATGTGAAGAGTAGATTGCGCACATTACGGGGGTTAACTTGAGCATTAGTATCAGGTTATCGTGCATGCGTCGTCCGTGATTTGGTTGCTGATCCCGTAAGCCAACAATCCTGTAAGTGGACTAACACGACTGAATATAGTGGCTAGATTAAACTACAACACGAACTCATAACAATAAAACTTCGTTAGCTCTGGGTTTCTGCCTGTATGTAGGCGGGCGCCTTTTCTGGAGACGAACATCGAAAGTATTATGTGCTTATCCGTTCACAGTGTAGAATTTAATCCCTGAAACACTTAGCCTTTAATAAGGATTCGTCCGCTGATGGTTTCGGCATGAAAAAGCGCCAAAGGGACATGGAGGCCTTGTAAGTGCTGACCAGCTGATACACGTTTGCGGGTTACCGTACTGGTGCGATCATCTGATGCATGGACTCGACGTTGGTTAATTGGCCATGGCCATTGTCGTAGGTTGTCATTTTCTGTAGGGTCACCGTGTTCGTACTGAGAATTGACGAGTTGTTGTTGTTGTTTGGATAGCAGTGCCGCATTGATCCAGTCAGTTTGCTGCTGCTGTTGTTGCTGCCGTTGTAAGCTGCAGTGCGCTTCAGAATTCACTGAGAGCTGGCCACTGGAGCCACAGCCACCAGCACCACCACTGGAAGCCCAATTTCCAAAAAGTGAAGATGCCCACTGATCATAGTAAGCTTTAGCTTGTTGATGTACAGCCATCATTGGATCCAGTGTTGCGTAGGCTGCAGCAGTTAGTGCGAGCGCCTGTTGCTGCATGGAACTTGGAGGAGGAGAAGGTAATTGCTGTGTAGTTCCAGTATCCACAGAACTTACATCACCAACAGACAAATCGCGGGTAGACCGGTGGTGATGGCGCGTATCCAGACCGCGGTCTGAGTAAGAATGCTGCTGTGTTGGACGGTCACCGTGAGCCGATTCGCACACAGGAGACTTAAACGGCAGGTGACTCAGAAGTGACTGTTGCAGTGTTGCGGTGCGCTGTCAAACTGTTTAACTAAGAGGACAAAGCTTGCTCAATAGCCGTCCAGGCTAGCCAAACGGAGGAAGACTACCCACTTTTTTGCTCAAGGTTGCATTCAGAATAACGATAATAAAAAATATTAGCCTTTGCAAATTCTGAGAGTGATTGTTTCTTTTAATTTTACTCAAACACTTTCTTGTTGGAATCTCCAACGTAGATACACGACTATTGCTGTCCACGGGGCATGGTGAATACATTTTAAGACAGATAAGAAAGCAACAGTTTTCTTTTACATTGTAAAGGAATGCTTCCTGATACGCCGGAGAATATGGCCTGCAATACAATCTATTTGTCTTACTGCTAAAGATGCCCTATCAAGTATTGTATCCTCTGTTTTCTGGAAAAGGGATGACGTATATCCGCTGGTGAAACGCAGCAGCATGAGTGGTTAAACGTTCGGGACTAGTCCCACTAATCTATAGAGAAAATATTTGGTAAATCCTTTTTTGGCAGCAAATCTGCCCCATTACACTTAGGGGGGAGTAGTCTAGGGGCGGTAGTGGATAAATCTGTGTGCAGAACGCAAGAAGTCCTTTAGAGAAATCGCCGCAAAGTCCACTAACCTTTCCGTGTACAACTTTCGGAACCTAACGTCGTGGGTGGAACGCAGGCCACATAATTTGTTCACCGAAACGCTGTGTGTTTGATTTTTCGCGCGTTTGTCCTTTTGTCCCAAAATGACCACCATTCTTCTCCAAAAGCCAAAAAAATCAACGCCCCTCGGCGATTAGGGTCATTTTAGGGTGTATGATCAAGCCGTTAGGTCAGTACAATGTAAAAAGAGGATTATTTAACAACTGTCCAGCATTGAACCGCAACAGTACTGTTCTAGATTATTCCTGGTTGTCCGTACCGCTAATGGATACTTGCGCCTTCCACTTGGCAATTCTAAGGTTATGTTGGATATGTTGTATAAAAATGTGGTTGGATCAGATGTTGTCTACTTTGGAAGGAATAATCCTACCGTTCTTTAATGTGCTATGTCGACGTTTTTGAAGTAGAATATTCCCCTAGTAAAAACAAGGCTCAATTCATCCGAGAACTCTTTTATGTCTAATTTACGGAGGGACAGCATTTTGACATCCTGATTACGAGCAAAGAGCCATTCTTCACACATCCATCTTAATGTTTGTCGTTCGGTTTCCGCAAGACTTTTCTTTTGTAATGAGGTCTGGATGATTTGTCATAACAACGCGGTCTGCATTTTTCCCATAGCCTCTACTGCTTGTCTCTTCAGCTCGACATTTTGTAACCGAATGTCTTCTTCTGTTGAGTAGGGTGTCATAAATTTGGTAAACTAGCCATAGTTTCCTGGAAGCCATATCTGAATATCTGTTTCCCGTGGCCTGTACAGGAAAAGATCACCACATCAGTTTTGTGATGCATCTTGAAACAGTTTAGCAGAACTCCTAAAAGCGGTATCTACAACTTTATTTCCTCACGTTAAATCAGGAGTGTTTTCCGGTTATACGAAATGGCGTTGTTGTTGAGAGTTTCTGTTTAGAAATTTTGACCTCCGTAAACGCTGCATTAACTAAATGGTAAATTCATAGCCTTTATACCATGTGCGGAATACAATTCACTTAACCGGATTAGATTTAGATTATTCAAGGCCTTTCGCTGGTATCTCTTTCACAGTCTAGGTAAGCTGGATATGAAACCTTCATTGTTGGAAGTTGCATTGTGACGGCTTAAAACAACTGCACGCCTCTTCTGTTTGTTTGTAAGCTTCTCCCACTGTTAACTCCGCCGTTTTTCTTGTTGTTTTCGATGTCGTTTCTCCCGTTCTGTCGTCTGTTATGGTTGTCACTGTAGTTGTTGCATTTCCAGAAGAGTGTGTCCTGTCGTTTCTGACGCCACCGTTGTAGCCCTACCTATGCTAGGCCATTTGGTTTGCTAATGAGGTTTAGTTCATCACATTTAAAAAAGGCTGAACACAGAAATACCAAGCGAATGATGTATCACTCACTCCCGTGGACTGTTCATTACAACGTGTTGATCGATAGTGAGCGGGCAAACGTAAAATTTTGATGCACACAAGTACACTACGGTCAGGGTTTGGACTGGGATTAAGTACTTTCTCTAGTCCCGAAACAGCCTTCAATTTTAGAAAGCCATTTTTTATTCGCATATGTTTAGATAAGACTAATCACAAGCCTGTCATTAAGCATTATTCTGGAGTTGAGAAATGACAAACGTAATATGGGACTGCACGTTTAGAAATATTTTTCCGGATGTCTGGATTTAAGCAATTTTTAATCGCTTTAAGTTTTATACCTGCTATTTTAGGCCCAAGACCTCCCGGTTGGTAGTTTAAAAGCAACCGCCCGATGACGAGTGGCTGATCAGCATTGCGATTCGCTCGCACTTAGACAGGATACATCACCAACCCTCCAGCATTCACAGGACCCACATCACGTGGTCACACACGTGTTGACTGGTTCTTGGAGTGAACTTAGAAGAAAGTATAATTCAAGTTACGAGGTCATTATTGGAGAAGGCACCTAAGAGATGTGATCACGTGATGTGGTCTCTATGACTGAAGGATCAGTTGTGCTATATCCTAAGTGCGAGCTAGTCGCACTACTAACTGGCTGCTCGTCTCCGAACGGTTACTTGTTCAAACTGCTGACAGAAAGGCCACGCGTTCGAGACTCCCTATTAGAGTCTCGTGGGATGCGTACTGCTGCTTTTCAGTACAGATTGGCTTTACGTACAAGACAAAATCTTCGTTGAAAATTCCCAAATATCTTCTCGCTGCCAACAGTGTACCTGGAGCTGATCAAACATTAATGTGCTCATAGTAGTGTAATGTGTTTCACGTCGCGTAAGCGTTGTTTGAACTGTGAGATTTCATCAGATCACTTGTAAATTTATCGGAGTTTGCTGCAGAGGTCATTAGGTCAGGTGGTTGGACAAATGCTACCTGGAAAACCAAATCTAGCTGCAGCTCTGCATATGGTTTAGTCAGTTGAAATCCTGCGTGAAATTCTGCGAAAGCTTCCATGTGGAGGTGTGTAGCAAAGGGTGTTTGAATAAATGCCTGCTATGTTGTCGACATTCATGAATTCCCCAGCGAGTCATGTCTGGTCACTTTTGTAGGTGATTTCAAATTGAAGTCAAATTTTGGTACACGGTAATCATGTCATTTGTCAAAAGTAGAATAACCGGATATTGTGCAACGAATCTGACACCCGGATCTGTAGCCCATACTAATTAAGGAGACCGCCTGCGTTACTGTCTCTGGTTTTGGGGAATTCTAATCGCTTGGTGAGTGCTCAATAGCTTAGGTCTGAAACTTCGAAGTCGCCCTAGGCGACCGTCACTCCTATGTGCATTTTATCCTCCTTTAAGCTCGTCAGTCTGCTTGTTTAATCGGCCAAAATGTTTGAAACTTGTTGCATGTCAGATTCACGCCAACAAACTTTCAAAGACGCTTATGTAGAAACGACCGCGGTATGCTTACTTTTACACGGTGAATATGTGACAGCCAAGCAATCCAGTTATACTCCTTATCACCTTCTGTCAGCGCATGTGAAGGAGTGTTGCTCTGTTAGCATACCTCATCCGGACAGAAAAAGCATCCACATTTTCCATTCTGGAAGAGACGAGATTTTTGGTGTAATCATTCCTACAACACTGTTTGTTAGGTACCCTAATGAACAATGGATGGCTTTGTTTCTTTTTGTTACGAGTAAGAGTAGCAATACGGAGGCATAATAGACTACTGACTGAATCCGTTCATGACCGAATTGGAGTCGAAAGCTTCTTTTGCTTTCTTTGCCAGAGATCAAAACACATCACCAATCTGCTAATGTTTCCTCCCCATTGTCACACCATCCCTCCAATGCCCAGTCTAATCAAATGTTCTTGGACCACACACGTCACCGAGGTCGGTATGCGGAACAGTATCAGTCCACGCCAAACATTGAACTCACGGGGCGTGTAGGCCCACAAAACCCAGTGGTGATTACACGCCCACGTCGGGTACCTCTACTGGATGGTCGTGGGCAGTACCCAACCTCAAAGGCCGATTTCCGTTCATCTGTGAGCGCATTATCCTATCTGGTGCAAGATGCTAACGTAAGCTTGTCTAATCATCTTACTTTTGTATCTATTTGAGGCTCCTTTGACAGTGAGCTAACCACACCTGGCCAGTAAATTTAACTGCATGTCTATGACAATCGTTTCATACGAAGCGTTATTCTCCAGTTAGGTGTGAATGAATACATGAAAATTCTTAAGTCAAAACTCAACGAAGCGGAGCCAGAGTTTATAATTCGATGTTTCGTTTTTTGCAATTAAGTGCTACAGGTAACTGGTGCTAAAGCTGTTTATAATGATCCGAATAAAGTTTGGCCCAACATTCCTTAGCCCCTTCAGCAAATATGCAAGTACAATCTGAAGTTGCGAGTTGGCAAGTCTGTCCGTCTGTTCAGCGCTTGATTAATTAAGTCATCAGAACGATTAATAACACAATTGTGAATACAACTTAATTATTTAGATAACGCAGTCAACGACATAGTATTCCTCGGCAGCACAAATCTGGAGTGAGCATCAAAGTTTCTCTCCTAAAGTCATGATCTATCTTAAATTCTTCGCGTGAAAAATGGTGGGCAAGTGGAGAGTGAAGGAACCCACTTCTCTAAGCACACAGAAATTTGTGCAGGTTAGGACACTCAATCGGACAATCTTGAAATGTGAACGCCATTGCAGCAATTAATAGTCACGTCTTTCAACGCCACTAGCCTAGCACATAGAGGACCGTGTGGACACTTTCCTGCGTGGTTAGGCACACCGACGGTGCCCAGACCCTTCCCCATTGTTCTCATTATCCTTTGATGAGCCACATTCTGGCCACACCCCAACTTGTGCCGCACTACCAAGCTACAGCCAAAGTCAAACTGATGCCCAAGTAATTCCCCCTTTATTTGTATTCGCTATTTTGAGAACAATCAGTGCTATCAGTTCATCCAGTGGCGAAATGTTCTCCCTGAATGAATACAGATAAATCGAATGGAAAGCAGTTAACGACTTTCCCTAACTCTCGAAAAGTTCCGGCGAGAGTGCCGGGTGAAGAGGAAGAAAAGACAGCCAAAACATTTGTTGTTTCATGTTTGTTTGAACCAGCTAAGTTTGTTTTTTTTTACTTCAAATTTCCAGTCAATAACATTTGTTGTTTCATGTTTGTTTGAACCAGCTAAGTTTGTGTTTTTTTTACTTCAAATTTTCCAGTCAATGTTGTGAAGCTTCTGATTCCAGAGGTTGCCCTCGCAACCCGGCTATCGTGCCGCAGTAGCTATTCTGTGACAACGCATGCGTTCACATATCAGACTGACGTATAGTTGGATTATTTTTCATTCATTTCATATCCACCCTGAAATACGTATCCAGCGGAATTCAGTTTTCGAACCAAGTGCATTGTTATGCTATGGAAACAGGTGATCCCTTTTGGATATCCTGACCATTTTATATTGAGGTGACCAAGCCAAGACTACCAAAATAAAATTCCTTCACACACAAGGAAGCGCTCCAAAGTAGAACGAAGGGACATCTTTGATCCAGTTACCAAACTCTGTTAGAAGTCGTAGTTTGTGCTGTTTCGTAAATTCAAAGTTAGTTATACGGAGCCAACAAGGTGTGAGTTTGAGCGTGTCTCAGCTGAAACCACCCCAGCGATACAAAAACTACTTGAAAAATACTTGTAAAGCCTCCTACTGCTGGGAAACAGCTGAATGAAAAGACTATCATACCAGCGAATTGGAGGTTAAGGAAACGCAATCACCATTTGATCCAGCCTAATAAACATGGTGACAAGAGAGAGCCGGACACTACAGACTGAGCCTTACAATAACTCATTTTGACCTCTGGTATCTTGGCCGTTAAAACTGACCTGGAGTATGTTATCAACCAGATAAGCCCTGGTTTTATTTTTGAGTTTTTATGAGTCTGTCCATGGTCATCTAAACTTAGCACCCAATGTCTTGACTAACAGCCTACATGTCGTCGCATAAAACTCGTTCATATGTACAGTGACGTCTGAAAAGTGTGAGTACCATATGGTTGGGAAGATGCAGTGGGAAATAGCTGGTATCGTGTTGCTTAATTAATGCAAACACTTTTGCGACCTCTAGAAGCTCTCCCTGACTGGACCCAGCAACACGGTTGCTTTCGGGGTTGCGGGGGACGAAGCCAAATAAAATGGTCTTTTAGGAGCGGCGTATTCATTTGGGGACAAATGTACCTTGAATGATGACAGTAGAAACGACTAATTGCCTACGGTCCAGATCAGCCTACTGACTGGCCCTTATCAGCCTTGTTTGATATTTCACCCCGCATTATAAGTGCGATCATTATAGCTAAGCTTTTTAATGATTCAATGTGTACAAACATTACTTAAGCGTATTTTGTCTATGACTTTAGCTTCTGGCTTTTAAAAATGAGGAAGGAAATATATGAAGTTCAGGTGATTACATATACAGCGATCTAACAGTGTAAATAATCGAAATTAAAATGAGACACACGAAAGCATTACTGGTTACTTAAGGTCGCCATGCTGGTAAAGGGTTCGAGCTGTTGGCGTAGTGGGTCTCCAAATTCGTAGACAGTATGTAGCGGGACCTTGAAGTGTGAGTCCCGTAGTAAGCTGAGGTCTACTTGGGGTTTACTCGCAGGTAAACTTTATGGTCGTTGTTCTGTTCGCTGACATCGAAACGTCGGTTGCGAAAGTTTCGCCACAGGTCGAGGCGAAATCTTGAGTAAGATGGCCTACACACCGACGCACTATGATGCATGGCTAATTCACTACGCAATGATGATATCAACTCGAATGGCAATAAGACGTTTTCAACCAAACTGCTCATCTCGGCGATCAGAACGGCGACATTACCTGTCGACATTAACTCGGTACCACGGTTTACTCACGCATGTCTTGTGCGAAACCACTTAAGTTGCGGTAGTGTGTGGTGATACTAATCCACAAAGCATTTTGCCTCAGTACCCATATGTCAGTGAATATCAGCGGCCAATATACAGCCCGAAATATCACGTCCCGTAAAAGTCTTTTTCGTAACGCGTTAAATTCAGCTTAATAGTGTGTACTGTAGGTACACCAGTTCATTTTGTTTAACCATATTGATCTTTCCTTCTTCGGCAATTTTAGTTTCCAGAAGGCTATTTGGAGGACGATGATTCTGATTCTGAATCTTGCCGCCCGTATCCACTCCCACCAACCAGTTCATTGGGATACCATAAGCTTTCAAATGTTTACCCTCGCCCTCCACTTCATGAAGACACGTATGAATCTGATCCATCAGTTCTCAGGCCACGTTTGCCGCAGTTTCACGTCAATGTCAAAAACAGACTGAACCTTTATCATGGGCGACGATTTGTTCATTCAGGACGGGTACCACAAAACTCGCAGAGGTCTCTGCGTATGGAAGTCGGAGCCATGAATGATTCCTTTATTCAACCTACAACCCACTATCTGTCCTCTCCCGAGAAGAATATTGTCGATCCAGGTTTGTTACCTCTACCGTTGTCTTAACAGACGAGCCTACTTGTTATGAATACTGACATCTACAACGCATACCAAAAAGGTTATGCAATTCTACTTAACGTATCCTCACGAATCCAGCCTAATCCGGGATATCTCCGGGACACCTGACGCTGAGGTACATTTCTGGTAAAATTAAAAACAGGATTAATGGAGGAACTCTAAGTGCAGGGAACCGGATTTTGTTCCAAGAACAGATTTTGATGTTGTTGGGTGTACAGCTGCTCGTGATAGCTTTAAGTCTATGATTTGGTACCCGAATTCCTCTGGGTAAGTCGTCATGAAATCATCACAGGTGACAAACACTTTGAGCCTTTCATTTCGCAGCGATCGCAAAGAGCGGTGAAAAGTGCAGAGCGAAATCTACTTGATTTGAACATTTGGCCAGTAATTTCTCTGTCAGCCCATCGAATAATGTGCCAAAAACAACAGCGCTTCGAAACCTAAGATGTTGTGGGATTTGTCAAACCAGATCCCAAACAGTCAGAGGAAGTCTTTTCTTTAGAGGTCAGACGCGCCTGTCAATTACTTTACTGCCTCTTGAGTTTGAAATAATCGGTTATTAGGAGGTGGTGGTCAGGAACACACAAAAGATACATTGTCCGGTAAGTAGAAGGCAGTCTTATGGAGTTATCAGCAGAAATAGTCTGAAGTTCGGTGGTGACGGATAGTGAAAAAAATGATCATTCAGCCGCCGCGTAGTTTCGGTGCATAGCTGCTGCATCGCTCGAAGGAAGCGCGATAAATGATTTACTGACAGTTTGCCAAAACCTAAACAGAAGCGGTCGAAAATGCTGAGGTTTGTCTTGAAACACGGGCTTTCCTCTCTGTGTATTCGTGCCTTCACCACTGAGCTACGTTCAGTACAAAGACGACAGAGAATGTGATTCAAACGATCCAGGTGATTTAGTTTAACCCGCTATCCTCTAGGATGGAGTCTCTATGGTTAATAACTTGGGCTTGAAAATTACGACCGAATTCTACCTACGTAAGAACTTGTTTGTCCCAGTGTGATAGAAAACTAGGGTTAGCCCTATGACAAGATGAAGCCTCGATTCACACTGTTGCTAACTAGCATAGTTGCCCTCCCAGACAACCCTAGATGTAAGCCCATTCAAATCATGAGACACGATGACAAGCCTTACACGCACCCGATGCATCTTGTTCCGTGCAATGGATAGACTGAAGGAAGAAATTGCGAATGTGTAGTGTAGTGTAGGTTAACAGGAAATCTACAGAATTTGATAAGTACGCGACGTCGCTTCGTTTAGTGATGAATACTGAAGATCGTCTCCGAAATATATTGTTTTCGGCACGCGGTTTGGACAAGTGTTGACAATGTCTTACGTTTATTAACCAGTATTTTTGAAGATTTCTGTATGGTTCCAACCAAATGCGATCAAAATATGAGTTGAATCTTGACTAGTTCAAGTTGAACTAGTTTGGATGAATTGTAAGTGTTTACAACGTTCAACACATTATACTAAGTTTCGTTCTTGCTTCTAGGCACACGCAGAAGCAAGCCCAGATAAGACAGCTCGACAAATCCGATATGAATTAAACTGGGTCGTGATCCGTTTCCATGCGGTTGTTTGGCCACAGAGGTTATCACAGTGTTTCATTGTGTCACATCTGCAGTAGCTCAGACTCATTCACAAACAAGATTACTGGGCAAGGTAAACACTGAATAACAAGAAACCCTCAATACAACTATGCAATATCTTCTATATATGACATTTTTATACTTACATAGTTGCGTTTATCGGTAGTTCTGTTATTTCGTTCTAGAACACGTGGGATGGTTAGGTTTGATTTAGGTGAATTTCCTAGTTGTGGTTATTCGTGGGCATCGGAGTTAGTGTAAAACGAGATATATGTTCCTCTCCTAACATTTCATTTGCTGGTGTTCAAAAGCTCAAAATTTGTCCAGATGATATATTTAGGACTTCAGCCCAAACCATATGGTAGTGATGAACAGCGAGTCTCTACATAAGTCTGCCATGGAACTGATTTTTTGCTGGAACTCCCACTTACCATTTACATAATTCCTTGCAGATAATAAATGTATTTCGATTCCAAAATGTTGTTATAGGTCTGAACAGCGTCCACAAAAGACAATAGATGAACGAAGTTATCAAGTGCTGGAGGACACAGTTCAATATCAGTGTCTACCTAAGAGCGAAAAGTTAAGTTCTGACTCTTGGGGCTCACGATATAGTTGATCCCATCGTGTATATATGGAGTCCTAATCAAAAACGGTTTGAATTCAGGGTTCAAATCAGAAAGCACTGCAGCGCGTATTTGATCGACTGACATGTGTTGTCTTCTTGTTAACTTTATCAGAACATCTGAATATTTTAAGGCGACTCACTTGCAAATTCCAATTTAACAAAGTCTTACTCGAAATAGTTATAACTTAAGTTGTTTGTTGGATTCCGTTAGAAGTGTGAATGTTGCAAACGCTTCAGCACATAAGGTGTGTCCGTTGGCTCATGTCCTTTTTAACTGTTAACTGTTTTTCACCAGTTTATGCAACTTCCCATTTTGCATTCATTTGGGACCTTTCCAAATATCTTTTCCTTTGTCAGAGTTTCTTGCTTCCCAGTTTGCGATTTTGAGTACGAAGTAATAACCGTCATGCGTAACCATGTGTTCATATTTGTGACGGCTTTACCCCACTCACAGTATTTGCCAGATTGGGTGAAATATACATTAGAAAATTTCTATCTGACCAACCAAAGTGGGTGGCACTGAATTTCATTTACCGAATAATGTCTCAAACACCTCACGTGCCACAGAAACATTATTTACATTACATTACATTACATGCAGTAGCACACAGTACAGTATATTGACCTTTACCTTAAGCGTCCAAGCTTGGCCTGTTGCCAAGCCCTCTTCCTCAGATTGCTGCCACCTGTCACACTTCTCAAACAGGGAAAGACATGATGAATGCAAGCTCTAGTGAGCAGGCCAGTGTGGATAGATTTCAGATGCTCTGGATGGAACGAAAATGATGATAAAAATTGAACACGAATCCTGCTAAATTGCTCTTTCTCAACAATTCAACCAGTTGTGTATCTTCTCATGTGATCAAATTACTACGACAAATAGTGTACGGATACAGTGAAAGTTACTTTGACTGAAATGAGTGACCTTTCTATCAGCGGTGAATTTAGTTTCCTTAAGTTCGTCTATGCTAACAGGATTCGCAGGTTCCAAAAGCAGTTCCTTCCTTGTTTGGGTATATCCCAAGACCTTGATGGGACCAGTTTATTCCCAAAGATTTTAGTATGAGGACTTGTGAAGACTGAAACCCCGGACTAGGGTACACATATTAATTGTTTTGGTTCTAACCCACCAACTCGACATTACCGTCACGAAATTTTTAGTTTTTTTATCTACTACTGTTCATATCAGCTGAAAAATCACTCCCATTAGGTTCATTTGAGGATTGTGCGTGAATGCAGTGGTTCTTACAACCTCAGACTCAATTCGATGAGTCGGGCACACCAATCACATCTCTCAAATGTGAAGACATTCGCCTGTTCAGACGTGAAAATTCAGATGCGTCCAACGTGCTTTGGTGGAGAGGTGGTTACACGTTCGCTTCGCATGTCACGTGTCCGGGGTTCAAATCCCGGCACAGACATTGGATATGCACTGCTGATGACCTCTAATGAGAGCGAAGCTCGAGTCCAGTGCTTCCCTTTGGTGTGGACTCACCGGAATAATTGCGCCAGAACAGGAAGACGACCGTTCAAACGAGCGTGGTGTCGGTATGAACAAAATACCTATTCCGCAAAACCACAAATAATTGTGAATTCTGAAAGGAATGTAATAGTGCGCAGAATTTCGACCAGTCAGGGTTAATTTAAGTTGTGATGGGGCTAATGTGACTGTATTCGGGACTTAGGTTTATCGGCAAGAATGTCTAACAACCAGCTGACGAGTAGTTGCCATGCTAGATTCTACCCCCACGTGCCTTTCTTCCACGTCAGTCCTGGTGGAGTTACCAAGCAGTTCGCTTAAACGCTCTTCGGACAACCATAACACAACCGAACAAGTGCAGCTGATGTGGTTGTCAGTGTCAACCAAACGCCCCGCAGATGACTCTCTAGATATCGCAAGATGTTTTTCAGCGTTAGAAAAACGGTACAGAGATAAGGAGTTATTTACAGTGAAATGCACTGATTCTCCTCATTGCTTATGTCCCTGGCGAAGGAAGCTGCTGTAGCTTGAGCCACTGTGTTCCGTTAACCGGTTTATATTTGAGTAGCGGATTGATGGACGGAGTTGTCTGCGCAAGACCGCCAAGTTTAAATTCAAACCACAACACATATTGTACTGTTACAGCTTACACTTTTCATTCTGCCGATAGACCAATACCACGTATGATGGGCTGAACGAGGGCCGAGATGATGTTTCGTACTGTAGCTCATCCGCCATACTACCAGCAAAAGCAACCATAGTATATATATATATATATATGTATATATATCAATAGATATCATAGGTTAGGTTGCAGTATCCGTCCAATCCTAAAGTAGAAATTGGCATCTCAGAGTACAAGCGGCATCACAACATCAGCTACTAACTGCATCCGTTTTCCAACTTTCAATACCATCCCTCAAGGGTGGGCCAGAAAATTTTGTCTACAAAAAAACGGAAGTTGTTCCGTCCCAATTGTAGCACTACGAGAGATAGACCGTCTCTTAAGTGAAGTGACTTCAAGGAGAATGAAACCTGACCAGTGATTAGTATTTCTGTGCACATATCATCTCGTATGAAAAATAATGGCTATTTGTATTTGTAAGAGGTGGAAATATTCGAAAACCGTTGGTAATGATGCCAAGTCGTGGTTTAGAGCGCATACGGTTGTACCACTTTTGGAGATAGGGGCCATTAGCTCATTGAGCATAAAATATGTACATCTACATAAGGTGTCAAAATTCAACCAAGATTATGTTTTCATCGGGCACTCACTTCATGTACAAATGTCACAGTCTAAAAAGTAAACTCAATCGTTATTGTCGTCATATCCGTCATCATATTCCAATCATTTTTTACCAACGTTCTGCCTTGCACATAAGCTTTAGAATATACTACCGTCAAGCTCATTGACAAAAGTTTGGTAGCCGTGACAAATGATTGTTTTCCCATTACTCGTATTCCACTGTGACAGTACTTGCTTCTGTTCCCAGCGAATGTGAACGACCAAACCCTTCATACTTTTAATCTTAAGTGTGCAAAAATCTCCACAAACATATGGTCTAAAGTGCCTACCTCTAAAAGCGAGTGTTTCTATGATGAACGCAGTTTTGGCGGGTTTCCCTCACTTCTGGGAGTGATGTGGTATGCGTCTTGATTAAATAATAATCAAGCTGTGGAATGGCGTCTGCCGATTCATCTGAATCATAGCGCGGCATAACTGCAAAATGAACGGGAGCTGTCACTTAGGGTCGCTAGTTCACAACTTGAAAAACCACAAGGCTGTGCATGCCATCCAAAATTGAAAACAGTATGCAGCTCACGTATCCCTCCATTCACACAAGACGAGTCACCTGTTTTTTTTTTCCAAATCTGAACACTACCTGTCGGTTCATCTTTAACTGGGTAGCGCTTCCTTGAAACGATTCAACACAAATAGTCGTCATCGATTACCAGACGTCCTCGATGGTTGCCTCTCTTTTTTTTCAAATCTGAACACTACCTGTCGGTTCATCTTTAACTGGGTAGCGCTTCCTTGAAACGATTCAACACAAATAGTCGTCATCGATTACCAGACGTCCTCGATGGTTGCCTCTCCGTTTATAGTAACTCAAAATTTGTTGTTATAGTGCTTTGTAGATTATCATTGGCAATGATGTTGATCAACGTTTTGTTGACTGCTGGCTACAGGCAATTGGGTTGAATTAGGCTAGTTACGTTGGTTTGTGTGAATGAATGAGCGTCACTCAATATTGTGCCTGATTTACACTTTGCGTGCTTGACTACATTTGCTTTCCTTCGTTTTACTGTTACATGTTTCATGAGTGACAAACCATATGGATTGGTTTCATCTTGCAATTTCTGTCTTACTTCTGTGTACATGGAATATGGTGTTCTAAGCACATATGCGTGTTACTGGCTGAACTACTACAGTGCGGTAGACTTGTAAAAGAAGTGATTTCACGAAGCGTACGTTGAGATTAATTAATTTGAAGTTGGAAAGATGACCGTGTTGATGTGCCGTCTCTCCCATTAAAAAGAGTTACTTGTTACTGTAACAGCACATGTCAACCAAGGTTCCTTCTTAACGCCGCTGAGGTTTGCGTGCTGTACTAGGAGGCAGTGAAACAAACGTGAGCACTTATCGATCGTTATGAGAGCTATTCAAGGGTGAAAAATGAATATTGTGTGATGAAAGCTCATGAGATACGCACGTGGCTGGTCCTGGTGTGTATGATCTGTAAACCATTGTTGTGGATTCGGAAAGGGATTGGGTTAAACTAATGCGAATAAGAAGAATAAGGCTTTCGAGACAAATCGCAGTCCGGCAATTCAGGAAAATATAGTGAAGGCTTTTCTTGGTGAAGCAACCACAACCCAACACCTCCCCCCTAAAAGTTTGTGGTTACTTTCTCAAAAAGTTTCGTGGATAATAAACCCAAAAATGCATACTTCCTTAATGTCAGTGCAGATCAGCAAGGTTGAAGTCAGCTAAACCTGCGTCCAGTAAGCTATTGGATAACGCCAACTAACATCAGTTTTATATTTAGCTAAAGTCGCACCAAGATCCAGGAGCTAATGGATATCTATCATTGCCAGTACCAGTTGAGTGACATTGTGTAAGGTCGAAAATAATGTGCGATAACCGCCCTGTAGTTCAGCATATATAAAGAAAATAACTGGAGTGTACGGAGCACTGTCGGTGGAGGTACGTCGCCTTACCGGAGACTGTTTATGCTCTTCTATACAACAGAATATGTGGTGTTTTGTCATACAGTCGTTGTGTGTTTATGTACATTAGTTTCTAGCCGTTTTTCAAAGCAGAAAATTTTTTAAACTATAATATCGGTTTTCATAACATTGCGTTTAATCCAGGGAATTTATAATGGGAGATGAAGTTGTATGTTCAGAACAAGCATTGATTTGCTCGGCTTGGGGAACCGTTTCATTTGAAAACCTGTATACATTGTTAAAGCTTCTCCACGAGTGTATTTTTCCTAGAAACTTCTGGTTAATTCAAATTGCTTTTTAACTTTTAAATAACTCTTGAATTTATTTTTTCAGATTCCACAAGTACGTCTGAAAATGAGGAAATCCGACCGTTACCTAGGCGAATGCTCAGTCCTGACGAATACGCTCAAATGCAGCCCATGGTGAGTTACTTGCGAAATAGAAGCACTGGATGCACCGACCGACTACTGATCGGCATACAAGTAACACAATATTAAACGAAACTTTAGCTGAATTATTTCGATTACTTAACAACGTACATTTGCACCAGGAAAAACTTGGCCTAGCATTTCGTTCGCCACGGTGATACGTCTCTTCCCTTACGCCGACTCTTCTGATGTCGGAAAAATTCTTCAAAGTTCAGAGAGGGATCGCATTTAGGTTGAAATCCCAGCCGTTTACATATATTTGCGGTATTTGTTACCGCCAAGTGGAAAATTGGTGGAGAATGGACGACGTTTTCGAATGTTGTAATGCGCCCGAGAATGGTAGTATGGTCACCTGCTATAGACCTCGCCAGTTGTGGAAGGAGTTGAAAATATTGTTGAGATATCTGTACTGCACCATTCGCGGTACAATGTTTCACTATTTCTTCAAGTCATGCTTATTCGCACTTTCCTGAAGCTTGTGAATAAATAACTGAATTTTTTTCATGTGAACTGAAAACTTCACTTCTGGCTACAACTCGAAGCGACATTTCGTGCCTACTCAAGTGAGACTTTGGTGCCACCAACTTTTTACTCATCCACCAGCCTGTTTGAGGCATTGTGATAGCGATCTATCGCTCTTCAGATGTTAACTGAAATCAAGATAAGTAAGGACTCGTGCCATTCAACTTGCTTCTCAATAACCTTCTATTGTGGACCAACTTATTTGCGGTTGCAAGACCGGGATCCCTAGTAGAGTTTTTCCGAAAATCACGTTTTCCTGCATGTCCGTTAAAATATCTGGATTGCATCCTAAGTAAGTGCATTACTTATTTTGGTAGCTATGGTAATATCCATTGAGTATCTAGCTACAAAAGTAATAAAAATATCTGAAAATCGGAAAATGGATTAGTGATATGCTTTCTGTGAAGATGACTGTGACTTCTGGTCAGTCATTGTGGGTAAGAATTGCAGACGCCTTGTTGTGTCCCGGTGAGACAGTAATTGCTTTGATCACAATACAGACTGCGCTTGCTGTCGTCGGTTCCAGCATTGCTACTGACTCCAGTCTATTGTTATTCCTAGTGAGAATGTGAGGGAGCGGTGCACCTTGAGAACCACCAAAATGCATGTTGAAGCGCCTGGGATGAACTACTGAAGTAAAATCTTCTCACCCACCAGCTTATCGATAAATTGATGGATAATTTGAAAACAGAGATTTCAATACACTAATAAAAGATTTCTGAAAGTCAGTTGTACATATATGAAAGTGACTTACATCTACGGAGAACCCACCTTTCTTTTCGTTTGCAACTGAATTTTCGTTAGAGTGAGAACATACTGTCAATCAACCACCGTCTAAAACATGTATACAGATTCACACCAATTCGCAAAAAGCTCGATGCTAACCAAACGCTTTAAATTCAATATCTTATTCTTTTCTCCAGGTTATCCGTTCAAATTATCACCCTATGCGCAAGGGTCTCCAAGCAAGAAGGACAAATGCCTGGTCTGCAGTGTCTCCACCCTCTCAAAATGGATCAGTGTATGTTTTTTGTCAAGCATTTTCAGTTCGAATAAACAAGCACCATGCATTTGTAAAGTAGCTAGAACATTGGGTGTGAACCTTTGCTGATGGGGAAACATGTTCCTCGGACAGGCAGCAATTATTTGGCTTCATAATACAACACTCGCGAATAAATGACCCGGTAACAGCAAGGCTCGTAATTCAAGGCCACCTTTGAAAGAACAGTAATCTACACCAATGAAAGTGTTGGAACTTAAAGTAGTGTTTGGTCCATCTGAGAAGAGTCTCCTCTGGGAGCACAAATATAGTTAAGTAAACTAGCCTAGGCAAACACAAGCATACAGCCAATGTTCTGGCACTGGCCGGAAAAATGCAGGAGCAGATGAGGCTGAGTGTTCCAGCGGAGTACCGAATAGTATGGCCAAGCTACTGCCGCCGGATCCTAGGTTGCCTCCACCAGACGAGGAGACCACTGTATAGAGGGTGTCACTCAGTGTGGAACCGGAATGATGTAAGACAGGGCGAAGAGAGGACGGCTATGGAGGCTGTTGTAAACCCTGAGCACTGGATTGCGCGATTCGGACCAAACTGACAGGTAGAATGGGCGTGCCAAATAAGATGCCAGGGGGTAGGGTGGGGGATGCAGGGGAATAGGAAGAGACGGAACTTGTCTGTGTGTTCAGCCCGTGTGGAATGGAGCAGTTTGACTGATGGGGAGACTGGGGATTCCAAAACAACAGTCCAGTAGAAGTGGCTCCACTATTCAAACTGGACTGAAGTAGACGTTGCTGTTGTCTGGACAGACGAACAACGGTGAGAGCAGCCGCCATGGATGGGTCATCAGAAACCGAAGACATGGGCACGACTCTCGGGCTATTGGTGGAAACTACGACGGAACCCGTACCTGGAGCTCTGTGGGCCCCACTGGAAGCTAGGTAAACGGAGAGGTCAAATGGACTGGAGAGCTGTGTGTGTTCTTCTTCGGTTGTCGAGGTTGCCGCACTAACTGCAGTGACTGTGGTTGCTGCAGGAGGCGCAGTAGAGGCAGCGGTCGGCGGAGAATCAGAAGAGGGTGTAGAAGGGTCACCTGACTCTGATGGGGCACCTGGCAGTAAGGTGGGACCAGTGGAATTTGTGGCGGGACCAATCATCCCGAAACGGAACGATCGGATTCGGTATAGGCTGTCAGCGATCAACAATTGATCGACCAGGCCATTTAATGCATTTGGAAAGGGACATAGGGTGGAATCCAATGGAACAGAACCACCCAGAATAGAATCTGGAGCTCAAGAGGCGCTAATATCCAAGACCGAATTCAGTTTGTTCCCGTCCAATTTCACGTCCAAACCAACGTAGGGCATCGGAGGTAAAATGCCCGCTATCCCTTGCACACGGTAGCCATCAACACTTGTCAATATCCGACCTTGGTCTTCGGTGTCCATGATGTAGAAGATACCTTTCAAGCCTTCAGCTTCCGACTGTCTGCGAAGAAGGTTGCCGATGAGTAGGTGCCTTTGTCATGCACTTTTTGATTACACAGATGTTGTCCAGTTAACACGTCAAACACAAATACAGAGCCGACTAGGTCCGACTAGCTCTACCCGGAACACATCCACGTTCGCATCCTTGCCTCCGACAGCCAAATAGGAACCATCTGGGGAGAATTGACATAACCACAATTCACCATCGCGTTGGTGCAGTGTTTGGATACACAAGGCAGGAAAATCTTGCATGCCACAAGCGTGTCGCTGCAAAAGTGATATACTATTGAAATCCGTCTGAACACCGGGGGGAGGGTTGCAGAAAATACAAGTGGACAGCTGTGCGCGCACCGAGTCCTATATAAGTTCTTCCAGTCGTCGAGGAGGCAACATCGTCTGAATTCGACTGATGAGCTGTGAACTGCTTCCTGCATCTTTACCGGCCCACCCGCCAGCTTGCGCACGAATTCCCATATTAGTTCGACATATCAAACAGATCGCTAGCGTGTGAACTCGTTCCGTGTTCACACCGTTCATCACACCGCATCGATGTGATGCGGTTTCGCAGTAGGGTGACCGCATGCATCGCTTCGTTCGCCTCTAAATGCTCCAGAAAGCGCTGCTCCAGCAAGAGTAATCGTATTTCATCAGCACTATCTAAATCTCTAATCAATGGAGCTAAACGGTCGACCGCAGCCTCTGCATCATTCCACCTGCCTTCGAGTGTCGCGTGGCGTAATTCAGTTGCGTCATCGTGTTCCAGAGAAACACCAGATTCCGTAGATAAATCAGCATGTGCACTATTCAATCCCTTGTCACAAAGATATTGTCCAATTGGCCTCAACATTTCCACACCCCTTGAGCAACGCCCTTCAACTTCATTTTTGTTTCCAAATATTCCTTTCCCATTGCACACGAGACCATTTATCTGAGAGCACAAATCACCTCCATTCTGCGCATACATCCTACCGATTCCCAGGTGACTGACACCCGACTCGGATCAAGAAAGCTTTAAAGCGGCCGAGAGGATCTAAATACAACTGACCAAAAACACCTTAGACTGTGTTATGGTTGGTTATCCCAGTTGCCTGAACTTGGGCCAATATGGTGGACTTGATTGAACATATCACTAAGACGTCAATCGTAAGCCGAACTGGTTACGACGCACTTCAAAGTACTGGGAAGTTGCGTTTCAATCACCTAAAAAGTTCTAGTTTCTCCTGTAAGTAGGCAACAGACTGGCCAAATCAAGTGATGTGAAATTATCATCAAATTTGCGATGACAGAACCAGAATAGAAGCAGGGTCAGTAGCGATAGCCGGTTCTAGAATGTAGCATCGCAAAAATCACACCGTGCGGTATTTCAAGAGCTTTCTTGCTAAAATGGAGCTATAAAATGGGGGGGTTGTGGTATCATTCGTCTCAAAGTCATACTGAGGGGTTAGTTGCTGTTTTACGGGATATTTTGAACAATTATACTGCGACATCAATATTCCGCTCCGGAAGCGATAATTGCTAAGTTAGTCGAGGTATTCGCAACCAGGATGATGTCTCGTCTAAAACAGCGCATTAAGTGCTTTATCCTTACTGAATCTCAGAGTTTAGACCGATTTTAAGGTGATGAGCGCAGAACATAGCAGAATTCTGACAAAAACTAACGGCTGTTCCTACAAGCTCCACACCTGTTTGAACATCCTCGGTTGTGAAAACCTACTGGAGAATTCATGATTCCGCGGTCAGGGTTTAGCTGTCGCCGACTCTTAATCGCCACATTTTCCTACGTCCATGTGATAAGAACGTGCATTGACGGAGGTTCCCCATCGGCTAAATATTTTGGGATTATACAATATTCTTCCTATAAGCCACCTGGATGCTTTCTACCTCAAAAATGTATACTGACTTAAAATTTACGTTATTTCATTTCAGGACCACTTATTCCAGGCCGAGGTGGACTCAGTACCTAAGCGATGATATACGGACTCAAGGTGCCGTGTATCCCGAAGATGGTCTTGACGATGTTCAATTAGACATTGAGGACCCGAGATTTCAGACTCGACTTAAGCTATCTGTTGTAGAAAACACGCGGACGGAAGGCTCATCGCATTACGGGAGGCTTTCGGTCGAACCGGTCGCAGTCGATAGCAGTGTTGCGTGTTATAATGGAATGCACGCAGATGTACGATACCCATACAATTCTCATGGTCTTCGAGTACCTTCTAGAGTGCACAATTCACTACACCCCGTGCCCCCGCAGGGTTGTTCGTCCGTTAGAGCGAAATCCGAATGTGATTTGGTCGCCATTGCCTCAAGCGAAAATGCAGAATGGAGGTGGGTTTTCTTACTACTAATCATCGAGGCGTGAATCTGCTCTTTACAGTTTAACTTTTACTTCTGTCACCGTGTCTTGATCGTTTTATCTTCATAAACCGGCAACCGTTTTTTATCCAAAATTAAGAGGGCATGAGGTTGAAGCCCTCTTAGCTCGAATGATCGACATACTACTTTATGGCGCCACTTAATATGAACGGCATCAATCTTCCTGCCAACCTTCAGGGGTCTGATGGACCTACGGCCTTTGTCCTGGTATAAAAGCCACTTGTGTTTTTCAACCTCGGTCTTGTCCCACTCGTAAATCCGATCAGTGATTGCTTTCAGCGAGCAACTACACATCACAAGAAAGAAATCAGCTGCGACAAAGTTGCTCGTAATTGCACAACATGATATGTAAACGATCATTTACCACGCATGTATGTTCATCTCATAACCTTGTCGTCCGCTAGATTTCATACAAGCTTGTTCCACCAAGTCCTTCATTCTTCCGTTGTTCACCTGCCACACATTGCTCGCTGACGAAGTCCTCATAACAGAATATCGTTCCGATGCACGAAATTCAACATTAACTTTTATTGTGGTTTCAGCCATTTTTCTTTAGTCAACGATGGCAACATTTTTTCAATCCAGGCTTTAGCCAGGTAAATACCTCGATGAGACTCCTCATCTCTAGTAACAAAGGGGCCGATGCAAAGGTTAGAGTTTGGAGACATCCTACGACAGTATGCTTCTTTCGTTCAAATCCACACGGCTGTGAAAACCGAGCCGGATACTTGATTTGGGTGATGGCAGACTTATGGGAGATTGAAGAGCGCCTACGAATTTGAGGGACCAGCAAAGCAAACTAATTCATATTTGGATCAGACAAAAGAAGGAATTAATTTAAGTTTTTCTGTAGTCTGAATCCAGTATTATTGATAGCATCAAGCTGAACAACGCAAATCGCACCCCAAGAACAACAACAAGGTAATAGTCACCTTGCAAATGTTGCGAAATAATAATATCTGTGGTACACTGTTAGATGGTCACCAATAGAATGGGGACCAACCTAAGCACGCACTGAAAATATCCCATTGATTGGTGACGAAACACTTGCAAGCCGACTAACAAACTCGGCGAACAGATCAACAGCAACCTGACCAATACCAGTGAACAAGTTTGAGCCATTAACTTTCTGGCACACGTCGGTGGTTCATTTCCGATTTCTGTGTGTCTAGAAATCGTCATCCAGACAAGATACTGATTCTAAAACGACAACCACGATCCCCTATTCATGGAGCGTGACAAGGTTCAACCTACTCTGACGCAGTTCATGAGGCTATGTGAACAGTACAGAATAACTGCCTCAAAACGTTCACAAAACTGGTCCAAGCCACCGCAGTTGATGGTCCTGGATGTTACTTGGGACTGAACTACCCGCTGCATACCTGAAGACTCTCCTTCTAATTACCTCAGTAAGAGTCCATCTGGCACTAGCGTCAATGCATTACGAAATTATTCTCAAAATATGATGTGTGCAAATTATTACTTGTTTGAATGGTTAACAAGTGTTCCTCTCGAGAGGTACCAGTCCCGCAACCAAGACCAATTAGGCAGTTCTTCATGGGTTGTGTTTTTGGTTCAGATGAGAACCACTATTTTGCTTACTGGCGCTTTTTCCGTAGTTCCGATCTATTAAGCCTCGAATTTGTCACAATGTTATCATTACACCTGTTTTCATTTTTTAAAAAGAGACCCTTAGTTGTTTTGACGTTATTCAAACATCTATGGATGCATGCTTTGTGTGCGGTAAACCTACATAAATGGTTGTTGTTTCCCACTATAACCAGGATACCTCAGAACTGCTCGAAGCAATACAAACCGAAATGAGTACTACAGGCACAGGGTACACCTAATCTGGTTGAAACATAAATGGTTGTTGTTTCCCACTATAACCAGGATACCTCAGAACTGCTCGAAGCAATACAAACCGAAATGAGTACTACAGGCACAGGGGACACCTAATCTGGTTGAACCCCCCCCCCCCATACATTATAGATGATCCAGACTACTGGGAAATTATAAGGAACAAATGTTTCATTGTATCAGTACCTGAAGTAGGCGGTAGCCAGCGTATCAACTTGAGAGGCAGCATCGTAACAAACCACAGTGACTTGCTTGCCATCAATAATGAAATTAACATCTCTATTGCTACCAATAAGAAATGCGCAAAAAAATATTAAAATTTCAAAATCAATTGGAATTCCGAAGAAAATCGTCCCGTAAGGTTTTAAAGCATCATCCCACGTAAATCGCATTGATGCAAGATGAAATCCGGGATGCTTTCGGTGTACCATCTCTAGAACCAGTCTTGCACACTTTTCCAAATGGTAGTATCGTACCCAGTTATGCAACCCTTTGACTCTGTTTCCTTCCTTTCTACCTACATAAACATGCTGAAATCCACAAGTTTGTAGCCGCCTGTTTGACATATTGTCCCAAGAATACTGACCGAACCAAACTTGCTTAAAAGCTGATTCGAACCGGGGACGAGTGAGTTGTGTTGCGTTTCTGGCAGAAAGTGCCTCATAAACTTGACCGAACAAGCTGGTTCTGAAAAGATTAGCAAGAAATTCATCCACCAGAACAGTGCGGTCATTCGCATCCCAGCACGTAACGATCCGGCATAAAACTTTGTCCAGTGGAGAACGAAATACCAGCTCAGGAGTGAGCTCCTGTGGTAGTAAAGAAAGGCGTTCTAGTGGAAATGGTAGATTCCAGGTGACGCGGTTCAACCCCAGATAGACCGGGTCATTTTTAACAAAACGCCCAAAGTAGTCACTGAATAGCATTGAAAGTTCATCTGGAAGAGGAGGTGGAAGTCCACGCGGGATTGATATTCGTGTTGACATTTGTTGATAGTTGCTATAAGAGTTGTGTCTGAAATGGTAAAATCCTCGGTTGAGTAGCATAAAAGATTGTAGTTGATAAACTCCTGATTTGTAGTGGCTGGTGGGAAAATAGCGTTTAACACAGAGGTAGTAAAAAGTCACAGTAGGTGTGATAATCTCAGGTTAAGCGTGAATGCAGTAATACCCTACTACTCACTCCATATCCCTAAGGCCGTTACAGCTACACCGTCACAAATAAGATAACTTACAACCTGGCTCTAGAGGTCATTCCTAACATAATAAAAATTCAGTCAGCTAAAATGCTTTGGACAGACAGAGAGGTCTCCCATTGATTGTTCACCAAGCCTTTTTGAAATGAAACTTAGTTAATTCCAACTGGTCAAAGTGAATGATGCGCTCACTTGGCTCATCAGATTGCCCAAGAAGCTATTCAATATTTGCTGGATTTATCGCTTTTGTTCCCTCGGTCATCAAACTACATCATATAAACCACTATCGTCAATGTCCTTCAGAGCTTCGACGCACCATACTGTGAGCTACCAGAATTGATGACCCAGAGATGAAACAGAAGGAAATGCTTCAAGCTCACGTGGACGCCACTGACCTTGCCAATCCTGAATGCAGCGTTTAGCCTGGCTGTTGCAAGTATTGATGAAAGCTGTTGCATTACTGGACAATGAATAATTAGGCCACAATTTACCGATACAATCAGCACTCCCGACCTACAGCTGCCATCTTGACGTGGTGGTTAAGCTTGAGTGCTGCAATGATCACGCGGGTTTCACTGGCTGGAACGTCGTTGCACAAGGTGCAACCATGCCACAAGGGCCAAAGTGGAGCTGCCAGACCAAAAGCAGCGAGTTCCAGTACTGTGAGTAATCGTGCAAGGAGGCGTTCTGGGGGTAAAGTCGTACTGTCGTCTGCGAGAGGAGTATGAAATCAGTAAGGCATTTCCCCCAAGTGACCAGCATGTCCATATTCACCGAAGCAGCGATGCTACCTTCCCCTAGAGGAAGGGCGGGTTAGAAAAGGTCGGCCCTTAAAACCGCACACTCGGATCGCCCGACGGTTGACCATGACCGCCGGCACATTACCCAGTGCGATCGAAATACTTTTAAACCAAAATAGCCTGGTGTTGCTCAAAAGGCAACTGATGTGCGTAGTCGCATCAGGAATGAGACAGTAACTCCTTATTCTCTGCGCCCTCGAATTAGGCCAACCCAATGCAGCCGAGCAGGCAAGACAGTTGAGTCATCGGCTACGGGAGGGGTCTACAAATAAAACCATATCATCTGCTGCCTGGTGGGTCAGACTTGAGTCAGTGGCTAAGGGCAGGGTCCCAGCAAAAAAAACCCTACATCCTCCCACTGCCTTGTGGGTCAGACTTTTGAGTCAAAGGCTCAAGGTAGGGTACCTCAACCGAACCCCTTCCTCGGCCTGGGCAGCCGGGAATCATCATTTGCCCGCGAAGTTCGGAGTCCAACGAAGTCCCTCCCCAAAACCTTCTTACCGCATAAGCAAACGTCGCTGGGCCATTTGGCTGTCAGTTATCTGATCAAAGGGTATTGTGCTCATCTCTGCTTACTAACAACAAACAAATTAGCACTCTTCGAAATCCACGATATCCTTTCTATATAGGAGCTTTTAACGTCCATGCTCTATGTCAAATCGGTAAACAGGCAGTATTTGCTGAGAAATTCTACTCCCTTAAAATTGATATATGCTGTGTCTCCGAAACATGCATAAAAGACCCGAGCGTGGTTATGCATCTCAGAACGCCAAGGGTGAACTCAGTTCTTTCACATTTCTCCCTCCGTGTGTCCGGTGACGCAGAAGCGATGACTCGTGGAATATATGGCGTGGGATTCGCACTCAGCCCCAGAGTTGAACGCGCTTTGCTGGCTTGGATCCCAGTGAACAGTCGTCTCTGCGCCGTCCGGCTATCCAGTTCAATCAAGCTCAATACCTCTCAGCATGAAAGCGGTGCCTGTTTGTCGTGTCGGCTTATGCTCCAACGGACTGCAGTTCTGATGTGAGAAGGATAGTTTCTGTCGACTCATTGTTCAAGCAAAATTCAGTAACACTGTGATCCTCGCAGGCGAGTTGAATGCTCAAATATATCGTATGAGCTCCTTGGAATCATACTTGGGTGGTCGTTTTGGAGTCGATGCTCGCCGCACAGACAACGGAGATCGACTCCTTCACTTGTGTGCTGATCACGAACTGTTTCTGGCAAGCACAAACTTTCAACATAAACGTTCGCATCGCGTAAACTGATAGCCGCCAACTACAAATCAACCGTGGACCCATTTGGGCCACGTGGCCATCAGTCACCGGTGGAGAGCCACAATTCGAGACTGCCGTTCCTCCTGGGACACGCCACTTGATTCCAATCACGCAATGGTGCGCGCACACCTGACAGTTCGTTTCCCTTCAGGCTCTCGCAAGTCCGCAGGAAGCATGCCAATCCACCGGCTTCGAAGAACTGCCATAGCTCAAAAGTATCAATCTGAGCTAGCCCAACAACTCTCCACAGTAAAACAATACTGTGGTGGCAGTGAGCATTTGGATGAACCGTGGTAAATTGTGAAGGGAGCTATACTATCGGCATTCGGTACTGCCTGCCCAGCTTCTCCAATTCGACCACAAGACCACTGGATGTCGTCGAGGTCGTTATCCATGGCTGATGATGCCAGGAAAGCCATACCAGCAGGCAACGAGTACGACGGCGCACGCAAATCCCTCAAACGCCAAATAGTGGAGTCTAAGGAAAGACCGAGAGCTCTGGTGGATATCGAAAGCTCGGGAGATGGAGAAGGCTTTTGCTACGAGAAACAGCCGTGCCCTTTATCAACTGATACGATCGACTGGCCCTAGGAAAGCAACGGTCAGCGAAACGATAAGCGAAAAAGGTGGCTCATTAATTCACTCGCAAAAAACGTCGACTGGAGAGATGGGCCGAACACTTCGAAGAGCAGTTCAGATGACCTCCTGCAACACAGCCTGTGGAGATAATGCATACGAGCGAATGGAATTTAAGCCTTGATTGCCCTTCGGAAGAAGAAATAAGGTAGGAAATAGCCGTACTGAAACGTGAGAAGGCACCAGGACCGGACGGTCTGTATCCAGCCCTCTTCAAAGAAGGCGGAAAATCCTTGGTGACCCACCTGACAAAGCTTATTGGTGCTATATGGGACGAATAGGGCAGAATAGGGCATGTCGACAGTTATTCCTATCTTTAAAAAGAGTACGCGGACCCTATGTGAAAACCACCGTAGCATCAACCAGTTAGGTGTGGTACCGAAGGTGATCTCTGGCCTTATCCTTCGAAGGTTGACTAAACACAGAGAGAGGCAGATCCGTGAAAACCAAGCTGGGTTCCGTCCTGCAAGAGGTTGCATCGATCATATCTTCACCCTCCGACAGATTCTGGAACACCGACACTGCTTCCGGCAACCAACAATGGTTGTTTCTTGATCTGAAATCCGCCTTTGACTCTGTGAACCGTCAAGCACTATGGCAGTGTCTGTGGAGCAAAGGTGTCCCACATAAATTCCTGACCCTCATTAAGGAGCTGTACGCCAACTCCCGCGGCCTTGAATGCCTGTGGGGTCGAAGTGCTCCCTGGGCCTCCGCTCACAGATATCGAGTACGCAGACGACATAGCTCTTCTTGGATCTGACCCCGTGGTAATGCAAACAACAATCCTGCCTCACGGTTCGGCATGTGCTTCAGACCTGCACAGTATAAAGTGCTACTGCAATACTGGGTGGGCTCGAACTCCAGCCTCATGCTTGCGGATGAACCGATTGAGGTAGTAGACAAATCGGTTTACCTAAGCAGCTGTATTAGCCCCGGTTGTCTCGCGAACGATGATATCTTCATCCTGATATGGTGGGCCAGAGCGGCTTTCGTGGACATGCGTCACCTGTGGCGTAGGCGTGACATCAGGTTGTACGTCAAGGGTCGAGTTTACAAGGCCGCGGCGCGCTCCATATCACTTTACGGATAAGAAGCCTGACCGTTGCGCGCCGAGGACGTCAAAAGACTTTCAGTGTTTGACCATCGGTATCTTCGGAGCATCGCCCGAATCTGGTGGGAACACCAGATCAAAAATGCTGAAGTTCGTCGAAAGCTATTCGGGAGAAATAACTCACCCTCGATAGATGAACCGATCACACTTCATAGGTTGCGTTGGATTGGCCACACGCTGCGCATGCCAGACGACCGAATTCCTCGGAGGGCTCTTCTTGCACACCCATGGGAAAGGTTGGAGAGAGCCGGAGGCGGTCAAACAATGGCTTGAGATCGAAGTATAAAAGGCATTACCAGCAAAATCAGCTGTCCTGGTCATTGCCATCTTCCTGAATGGGAACCCCTAGACGGGCCATATCAGAGGTTAGAGACATGGTCAGACATGGCCCAGTTGCTCCCTCAGTGGCGCTCATGCATCCGAGCTGTTGCCTTCAATAGACAACTCTCTTCCCAGTCCCCCCATTTAGCAGTCCACCTACAATGCTGTATTTATGCATTAATTTGTCAACTCCCACCTCCAATGCGCAGCTACCTACCCCACCCCCCCGAATCGTTGGTGAACGAGACTGTGGCAGCTACAACCACTGTACGACAAATACGCGTTTATTACAGCTGACAGTGATAATAATGATAACTATCAGCAGGAGCTTTTGTTTTTACCGATAGGCAAAGTTTTTACCTTGATCTCTTTTCTACCAGCGACATATTGGGATCAGCCAAGTTCCAAAGAACATTATTTTGAGGGTAATGAAAGGGCATTGCGAGATATGACAAATTAACTGGCTTTATCATCGCCATTCTGTAAAAACAGCGTACCTGCTATACAATGGTCATAGCCCTCAATTTACTTTGGCGAGTACCTGGGAAGTTGGAGTTAATTAACTACTTGTCGGAGGCGCTAGCTGTTATAATTGATGCGTCAACACAGGAGTTCCAGTGGACTTTTCAGCTGTTAAGATCGGGACGGGGAGGTATGCACTAAGGCAACAGTTTAGCTGTGTAACTGCCACTAAGCGCGCTACTGAGCCATTTCTGACCACGTCTGTACCAGTGATTGTTCCCCTGTCAGGAAGCCGGCAATAACCAGCGCAGGTGAGTTTACTGGTAATGACCTTTATACTTTGCTGCTAAGTCATTGCTTGATCTCCATTGGCTTGTTTGTACCGTTCGTGTGGTTGTGAGGTTGACTGCAGCATATGGCACATGACGGAGTCAAAGCAGCCTGTGTATTGTGATCATTGCATTTATCATGGGTGATTCGTTTCTTCTGAAAACATACTTAGACATACTTTAACATACCTGAGACTGGTGCAACGCTCCGAAGGCACCAATAATTGAAAAATGAAAGTGTTTTAGCGTCTTTAGCACACGGCGGCCAGGTTTCTGACGCGTGTAACAATATGGAGCTCACTATAGTGTTGCAAACTCGTGTCGCTCTTGCAGAATCTGACCAAGGGTGATTAATGCATCAATATGCTCAATGCATCCTCTTGCAGAGCGGATATGATAACTTTGTGTTCAGTGCACATTCTTGGGATAAGACCAGAGAACATGTTCGATGCCTCAGCTACCACGCTGATGCCACGGTGGTTTATACGCAGCATCCGCAGGCACTTCATGAATTCTACAGGCACATTCTATTCGGTCAACTTGATGTCAATGAATTTTGTCAGATGGTTCACAAGAGATTTCCCGCCTTCTTTAAAGAGAGCTGGATTCGGGTCCTACGGTCCTTACGCCTTCTTACGTTTTGTCACGCCTATGTTGTATTTTACTCCTCCTTCTGATGGGCAATTAGAGCGTGTATTCTATTCGTCTGTATGCATAATCTTGAGAGGCTCGGTTGCTGGTAGCCGGTTAGACTACTCTTTGAAGTGTCTGGTCCATCCTTCCAAATAATGTTTCTGTGAGTGAATTAATAAGCCATACTTTTCATTAGCCCTTTCTTGGGGGGAGCAAGCATCTCTACTTCCATAAATTCGAACATACTGGTCACCTTAATGCACTTGCATTCCTATCGAACAGGACAGTACGACTTGACTTTTAGACGGCCTCCTTATACGGTCTGTCACGGTGCGGAAACTTTTCGTTTTTCGATAGGCTGCACTTGTCGGCCTTTATGGCATGGATCAAATTTTGGAAGCTGAGTTCCGGCCAGTATAGCCAGCAGAATCATTGCTGCATAGAGGTCATACCACCAAGGCAAGGTGAAAGCTTTAGCTTGGGATTAATCTTCTGGTTAATTCACTGTGCTTAACTTTTTTTCAGAACTATGAAGTAACTGAGTCAGTTTTGTTAAATCAAATGACTTAGTGGTGCAACGATTTTCTTTTAAAGATGGTCACAACAGAGACAAACATCCCATCAGACAGACAATTTCACAGGATCTGAATTTATTCTGTGTTTAATCCTTTTCAGAGATAGTTCACATGGCAGAAAACCTGGTCAAAAATTAACCGACTCAATATACTTGCAGTTGCGTTTCCGCCAACAGGATTTTTCAGGAATCCTCAATATGGTTTTATAAACGAATATCTACGATATTAGTGCCTTCAAAAGTCTAGTCAGTGACACCTACTGAGCACCACGTTCGAACTCAGTCAGTTTTGAAAAACTAAACAAATCGAACAGTTGAATTATTCAACTAACGTAGAGAAAATTTGTAAGTGAAATATGAAGGAACCAAATCAAGATTAATGCCTGAAAGTGTTCGATGAGAATGCCGGTGACAAGAATGTTTGTCACAGTTGGAGAACTCAAATTTTATTGAACATCTGGGTGTGTAAATGTATGAATTCCTCATGAAATTGAGGTGAATGTGTATCACGCAAATTTAGTCACATGAAACTTATCCTCTAGTTGAGCGGCACCACTCAGTCAAATTTTATGCAACGACTGGTGGGTACTTTTCAGTTGATGCTACCAATATATATTTTCTAATGATTTTTTAGTGTTGTTGGGTGTCACAATCTTAGACTTGACCACCTCCTCCCCAGCAACGCTTATATTTCAGCGAAAAAACCCTACAATTTTGGGGTTTATAATTCTAGACCCGTATACCTTGTTGCCGTTTTTGTTGTAGTAGACCTGTATTCACGCTGTACTGGTTGTGAAAGAACATTTAAATCGACAGAGGAACCTTTTGTGCTTCAGTTAGCACCATATTCTGTACTCAGTTTTCGTGGCACTTCATGATGTAATTCAGTGGGCCCTAGTTGAAAGCTGTTTTCCACCTAACGAACGAGAAATATAGTGCTTTAAATAAGATTTACCAGTTTCATCATTCCCGCTTTGTGAAGGAAAAACATGGCAAGCATAAATTTAACCAATCCTTATGAGCTTTGTAGAATCGGCCCTTGGTTACCACGAACGGATTTTCTTACCCCATTCCCCCCTCCACTTATGGAATAACTAATCATCATTTGATCCAGTGATGAATCGATTAAAATATCTGATAAATTTAAGCACGTCTCATACTATACAGCAATAGTACGTTCCTTTACGAACTCACCTTCCTCTCACATGTAATGTGCAATTCTCGTCTGATCACTGACTCAGTTTGCTGGTTTTCTCATCCCCATAATCATTCGATAGACTCCAACAGAAATGGATATTACGAGAAGCAGTAAAAAGCAAATGATAGCACGCGTTATTCGAAGAGCGACTTCTATTCAGTACGTCTGATAAGAAATAATAAAAATTCGGAGCTCACGGGAATACGCAAAGTCAGACGGATAAAATATTTCGATATCATTGTCTGTTCTATCTCCTAATGATCTAACACGTCTGACCATGTCATCATCTGATACTGCGTATTCAAATACCTGTGAGTAATCGATTTTTCGGACGTACCGTTCACATGACTTGCGCATGCCAACAGTAAGATGTACTATTTTTATGGAAATAATTAATTTTATGAGGAGGCTGATTAGACTATGAAATGTTTACCATTAGACCAAACAAAATTGTGTAAACTGGACATATGCACAGAGCATTAATTATATATCAACCGGTGTAGCAACTGCTGTGCACAAGTAAGCTCGATTCCAGGATGGTCGATTAGGTGGGGCCATCAGCTGGCGCAAATTCTTCGACCTTCCCATTAACCAAAGTTCTTTTGTGTAAGGAAGAGCACGTGCTAATTAAAGTTACATAAATCTGGTCTGGGAAACTCGCCCCACCCCTATTTTGCATTGCTGATTCCAGAAACCAGAGAGCTTACAAGGTTTTCGCGCCTGCACTTGACCCTGATTTTATTATTGTTTGAGTCAGGATGATGGCGTACACTTTACCAAGTATTTTGAAAGGGACCGAAGTCTATCTGTGTGTCAATCAGTCAGAAGATGTACTTGTTAGAACAGAGAGATCTATGAACGAAAATAACAAGACAGTCAAATGTCGAGGACGTTTGGATGTAAAGAATATTGCCTTAGAGTACTCCGAGTAACAACATTCTCTGCATAGGACCAAAAACAAACCACGCAGCAGGTACAGCCAAACTGAAGTAACAACAGCATACAGCATTCTGATTACAGTTACGTAGAGCTTTTAAGGATAGGAGGCTAGATTATCAGCCTTCAAATTCTGTCTTTTCGTTGGCGTTTGTGAGCAAAATAGAGTTAAAAGGCTGCTTCAAGTTCTTTCAGTTATGAAGATGAAAACAATGCTGTCTTGCCGGAGACAAACCATATCACTGCCATGAACTTTCCGTCTTTAGTATATCTACCATATTACCCGCTGAAGTGTTACTCAATTTGGGCATAATAAACATGCGAACCACCAGATAAGCACACTTCCGAAAGTAGCAAGCTTGTGATCTCAGCGGACCATGCTTAACCAGAAAGATTTCAACATGAATTTGAATCTTCCTGTCTGGAATTGATGTATTTCTGAATCCCGTGGCTTACATGCTGTAAAGTATCGTGTAAGATATAAACCCCTAACTTCCTATTGTAATGCAAGGAAATAAATTTCCCTTATGACTCTTGCTCACACAGCACGTATCGCAAACCACTTAAATTTGTGCCGTTGAATCTCTGCATATTTGTGTCTACGACCAGCAATAACGCACGTTTGTCAAAGGATTCCGAAATAAACTGATCTCAAACCTCAAAAAGGAAGCTGCTATCCATCCAAGTGAATGTAAAAGTATTCCGAGATGATTAGGTATCGTCCATCCTTCGGATCATCACTTCATCAGAACACAACTAGAACAACCTCTTCTAGTCTGCAGTATCGATGCACGTCTTGTATTCATTTTAATTTA